GGGTTTTGGGACCCATGGTGGATTATTGTGTCAGATGGGATTAGCATATTATATATATATATAACATCCACGTAATTTACAGCGTTCCAACTTTTCAGCTGTTTTGGTATCTCCAGAGATATTCACTACCTTAGGTCTGCATTGGTCGAAGTCACATCATTTGATATTTATTCCCCCAACTAACATAGACCCTGTCAGGACGGCTACTTTCCTTAAAAAAAAAAGTCGCGATTCTCAGGGTGTGTTGGTTCGGGGGATGGTATATCCCCAACTCCCCTGAAGTTACATGTTGGTGAATAACAATTCAGCACGAAAAAACGATATAATGTTGCAACTCTATCTCTATGCAACACACACACATATATATATATTATTATATACATTTGGTTTCTGTATGGTTTTTCAAAGAGCCAATGGTAAATTGGCCAATTTGGGGGAGGATTTGTGGTTTTAGGTCTACCTCATTACCCATATTTGGAGCGACCCCGATTATTGTTGGTAAGATCGGCATCATGATCGGTTAAACTACGGTGTTGCTTGAATAAATCTTCATTATTACTAGATGAAATCCAATGTTTTGTTGGTTAAAGTCAACTTTTGTTGGTTGAAAGCACCAATTTGGGCGTAACATTTGTGCCTGCGCAGCCTGCACGGAGGCCGTTCCTACGTTGCTGTGGGGTGGCACTCCGAGGTGGGAAATTTATCATGATCCGACTGTGGGATTTCTCACTAAATATACCCTCTGGTAAACTAACATAGCTATTGAAAATGGCCATTTATAGTGAGTTTTCCCATTAAACATGGTGATTTTCTATAGTTATGTTAGTTTACCAGAGGGTACGAGCAACATGGTACTTTGGATGGATGGTTTTTCTTGGGTCACCAATTTCAGACACCTAAATTTTTTTCGTTATCATCCAAGGCTGGTCTATTCTGTTTATTGAATGGGTTTGTATGACAAAGAGAATAATAGGAAAAAAACAAAATCCAGAGGGTTTATCAGAATATCATCACTTTTCCTATCAAATATTGAAATGGCAATGAATTGATGGTATACCAAATTTTCAGACCCACCCATATCGCCATGATTCTGCAGGCCGGAAGCTCTCCGCGAATTTCGTTCCTTCCAAAAGACGTGCGCCGGGGCAAAGGGCAAACCGCAGCGCCTGGGAGGGGCGCACCCTCCAAAAGGCACAGTTAAGCTCTCACCTATACCTCCATCTCGGAGGTGTAATGACTTGGGCTTCTGCCACTGACCACTCTTTTCAGAACTCTCTGTCAAAATGGAACAACCGGAAATTCTACCAACCAGTGAACAGATTGCTTCGCAGCACATTCGTGTGCAGGGCAGCGTTTGTGAGCATCATGGCTGTTGACGGTCTTTGGATGTTTTTGTCAACTTTTGTAGAGAATAGGTCTTAATTTTGTTTTGGAGAATGTGGATCGAAGCGCGAGACACAAAATCTGGTCAATTTGACTTCATGGCCACGGGCCGCTGCAGGAATCACTTTCCGGCCTCGTGGCACTTGGGGCGGAAAGATCTGTGAGGGACCACAGGACAGGGTGGCGATGCTTGACGTCTTGGGGATATTTTACCAAGAAAATATCCGTGAAAAGTCGTGATCATATTTGCTAATATAGGCCTTTCATTGTGCATTTACCAATCCAATTTGTTGAAAGCACCATGGCCCCATTGAAGTTGGGTGATACAATGAATGATGACTGATGACTGGAGTTTCTTGATTCATTCCCTCTGAAGGTGCTGGTGAGTATGGCGTGGTACGCTCAATGGTGTGCATGGTCCGTTAAAAAACCAAGATGGTTAATGTTAGTTGGTGATCATAGCGGTTTATACTATCCAATATTGTAGGGATGATCATAGTATACTAACCATTAACCCAGCATGAGTATGCAGAATATGAGTACTATAACTATGACTACATTCATAGTTAACTATGCCAGGTATATTTTTATAGCCAGCAAACATTGACGAGTGAACTTCGAATAACACTGGGTTGGTCCCACCACTGACGAACAAATTCAGCCACAAGTTGTGGCAGATGCTGAAATTTTGGTCCCTGGCCATGTTGAAAAAATCTTGGCGCGCAGAATAACACATCATTATTATATGTATAATATATATATATATATCATTATATATATAATATCATTATATATCATTATATATACATATTATATGTATATACACCCATTATATCCCCACGGCATCCCTATATCATGCCCAGAAAAAAAGGTCATTCTCAGGCTCTGGCGGAACATCCGCAGCATGCAGCAGAGATATCCCGATGGCAGGCGCGCGATTTCGCGCACGTGTGGTGAGTCGAAAGCTACCATAGATGGATGGTTATTGTACATAGATAAGTATATATACATATTATATATATACATACGCTGATAAATAGTTTTGTTGTTAAATAACAACTACGGTTGTAAGAATCAATATAGTATGTATAATTATATAGATAAGTATGATGATGGTATATCAATATCTGTTTATAATAACCATCTATGTATGATAATTATATACAATCTATAATTAATCATATATCAATGAATCAATATAATTGCAGATAATATAACCATAGATGGTTACAGTATTGATATTTTATGGTTTCCTTGTCCGGAATTGTGCTGTGGAATGGAACACATTTTGGATTATGTACTAATTATCAATTATGGGAAACCCTATTAAAAACCAACCAGATAGAATGCAATGGAATGAAAGAACATTTTTGACACTGCTCAATTGGACGGAGGGAACATTTGCAGTTGAAACCCTTAAAAAACGATACTGGGTAAGCAACATGGTTCTCATTCCCTTTCACATAATGAACCAGACTTGGGGCGGTTGAGCTGGGATTGTATGGGGATGTAATTAGCAAAAAATACATAGGGAGTTGAATGATTTGCTCGCGATTTTGGGATCGGTCAATAGTTGTGTTGACCATCTTTGATATGCGCAGCCCATCTTTGGGCACCCACAATCAGAAATACCAAGTCGATTCCATATGTGTTGTTTGTTTAGCTTCCCATTTCGGTCGACCATATGGATTCCCCATTATCCCCATTCGGTATGATGCAACTCTCCATTTCGATTGTTGTGTTCAATTTTTGCTTGACAAAAACCTCAAAATTCACAGCTGTTTCAATTCTTGCTTGGCAAAACCCTCCAAATTCAGTGTACATAGGTCAGTTTTTCCCCACCTGCCAGGTGAGGGTTGTTAGATTTTATGTCAGTTGCCTGGTCCTCCTCCTCCTCCTCGTCCTCCTCCTCCTCCTCCTCCTCTCCTCTCCTCCTCCTCTCGTTGTCCTCCTCCTCTCGTTGTCCTCCTCGTCCTCCTGCTCAACTGCGACTCGCGATCCACAGTGTTCTCTGACCGGACCTCAACCACGACCATCCACGCCCAGTGTTCCCTGCCGGACCTCAACCACGACCATCCACGCCCAGTGTTCCCTGCCGGACCTCAACCACGACCATCCCCGCCCAGTGTTCCCTGCCGGACCTCAACCACGACCATCCACGCCCAGTGTTCCCTGCCGGACCTCAACCACGACCATCCACGCCCAGTGTTCCCTGCCGGACCTCAACCGCGAGTATCCACGCCAAAAGATATGCCACATAGAGTGCCAGAAGATACCAGATAGAATGTTAGAAGTTAGAAGATATGCCAGATAGAATGCCAGATAGGTAGATGCCAGATATGAATAGAATGCCAGATAATGCCAGCAGATTTGCCAGATAATATGCCAGAAGATATGCTAGAATGCCAGATGGAATGCCAGAAGATATGCCAGAAGATATGCCAGAAGATATGCCAGAACATCTGCCAGAAGATATGCCAGAACATCTGCCAGAAGATATGCCAGGTAGAATGCCAGAAGATATGCCAGATAGAATGCCAGATCGAATGCCAGAAAATATGTCAGATAGAATGCCAGAAGATTTGCCAGTAACAAAATGTATAAATGTCATGGTGGGGATCACACGAAGTAAAGTAATTTGCTTTGCTTTGCAGCAACCGGTGGCAAAAATCAGTGTTTTCATCAGCCCCGATGCACCAGGTTTGATCTGATGCCCCAGACGTTTCTGATCCCTGGACACTTTAAGTTCTGGTTGGACCGGAGACCCAGCGGGTTCCGCCCATCTTCGGTGGCAAATCCGGTGGCATCATTGTTATGAACGCACTATGGCTGGGATACAGTATGTGTATATCAAATGGCTACGAATATTATATATATATATTGTACATATATATATATATATATTGTACATATATATATAAATATATATATATTGTACATATATATATATATATATATTGTACATATATATATAAATATATATATATATATTGTACATATATATATATATGATTAATATATATATATATATATGCATATATATATATTTATATACATATAAATGTAATGCTTGTTACATGGATCCCAAATGACCCTTTTTTGGGAGGCCTGACCGGTAAAACAGGGACCAAACCATCTTTATACGGGCCAATTTTTGTTATTTTCCAGGTGTATATATATATATATACACATACACATCTACTTGACATTGAATTTCACAAGATACATAGACGTGTGATATACCTGTACAATCTTGTAAATACATAAATACATATACAATTATACAATACCTCCTCCACAAAATAGTTATCCTTAGTAACTCCTCACTATTTTATTTTAGTGGGATTGTCCTGGTACCAACTTCTATTTTTTTCTTTTGCTATATATATATATACACCATCTGGTTCTGGTTATTTAACATAGCCATGGAAAATGGCCCATAGAAATAGATGGTTTACCTATTAAACATGGGTGGATCTTTCCATGGCTATGTTAGTCATAACCAGACACATCAGGCTGTGGATCCAGTCCGCTACATGGGTCCTTTTTTTGCACCGGGAACACCGCACGGCCACTGGCTCAAGTGCCGAAAAGGCCCCAGCCCGGCCCAATGGCTCATGGGACTGAGCGTTCCATGGTCCAATGATGGCCGTTCCGTGGGCGGATTCGTTGAGACTGTTCGGATAGGTGTTTTGTCAGGGTGATAGATGTCATCTCAACATGTATGATGATGTAGTTAGATGGTGGAAACTTATATCATCTTATATCATTTTCTATCATAAAATGATAGTTGTAGAATGTTGTAGATGTAGTTTAGGAGGATAGGTAGATGTACTTGTCGGTGGTTGAAAGGGACCCAAGGCTGACCAAGAAATTCTAAAGGACCCATTGGCAAGGAGGAAAAACTATGTTAATTGTCCAATATTGGTTTGTCCGAAAATGGATGAAAATGAGAGGTATGCAAACCATACCAACATGGCTTAAATATAGCCATGTGATGCCGACAAATCTTCATGTGAAGTATTGCTAGTGCCTTGAGCCCACATGATGTGCAATCATGAATTCTTGAATGCTACATATATTGAAATTCTTGGACTATCTTTAGCAAATGGCAGCGAGTCAAAGTTAGGCACCCCAAAAGGTCCATGCAAATTGGGCCTGCTGAAGAATCTTTGGGCTTCGGGATGTTTGAGGATCCAAAATGACCCCATCTCTCATTTGTTTGACGGATTTAGGACGATGCAATGATGCACCTGCCCAAGTCGGATATGGAAGAATGCCAGAGAAGTCTGATAGCATCAGCCTACAACATGGATCGTGTGATGGAGAAGTTGCAACGCTTGCAAGCCCTTTGGCGAAAAAAAACGGGGTGAACAGCCCATGCTGTTGTTGATACACAAAATTAAAAATGGGGGTTGCCAGGCTAGATTACCAGAAGGTAAATGAGATTCCACGATTTTGGGATTTTGGGATTAAGGATAGCAGTTCTCTGAAGGCCAAAAAACTAGGGATGGTTTGATCCTCCACCACGGATCCCAGCCCCGGTACCCCCAAGTTTGGGGACTCACATTGCCCAGGAAAGTTGGATAGCTAGTCCCTTGCAGCGGGTCCAGTCCTCGCCTGACTTCCACGTGAACCGCGTCAACGTCGTCCATGGCGTTTGCACTCCGCGGGTGGACAATGACCATGGCAACTGCGGCCCCTCGGCTAGATCCAGTCGAAGGGAGCTGTGAAATCCCCAGCCACATGATAGATTTTCGTGATTTTTATGGGGCCCGCAAACTGTTTGTTTTTGTTGTACGAACTTATGTTTTTTCCTGGCGTAGGCAATTTTGACGGCCACAAGTGTTGGGGTTGCTGAAAAGATCCATTTGACATCGTTTGATCACATGGACACATGCAGGATGTGTCAAAATCAACCATGATTTGCCACTCAAAATGGGCCTGGGTCAAACTTAAAGACCCGGGGAATAGCGATTTTAGTCTATTTTTGGCACATGAACCATCCATTTTTAGGGGTACCCTCTGGTAAACTAACATAACTATGGAAAATCACCATTTTTAATGGGAAAATCAACTATAAATTGCAATTTTCAATAGTTTTTTGTATGTTTACCAGAGGGTAACCAATGACTTGACCAACACCCCCAGGCGGCCGGCAGCCGGACGGCCCGGAGTCGCCCATCTTCGGAGCGCCTGGCGGTCCAGACTGGAAAGACTTGCTGAGCCAAAGTGCCGTGCAAGGAGCAGGGGGATGATGGGGATGTTGGAATCCCATCTACCCTCTGGTAAACATACAAAAAGCTATTGAAAATGGCTATTTATAGTTGATTTTCCCATTAAAAATTGTGATTTTCCATAGTTATGTTAGTTTGCCGGAGGGTAATATTAACACCCCCATTCTATGGTCCCAAAAAAATATGGAATTTCCCAACTAAACCATGGATAAACCATGGTTTCAAACGGGGGTGTGAAATAAAAAAGGGGAAAGGGATTAGTATGTGACTTGGTTGTAGTATGTTGTAGTATCGTGTAATATGTTGTAATATTAATATCCACGGATCCCATTGACGATGGTGAAGGAGCAACTGAAATGGGAGATCAAATGGGGCAAGACATCAACGACCGGCACTTTCCAACCATGTACTGGTTGCTTTAAAATTTGATTTACAGCCCATCATCGGAGAATCATCCACATCGCATCCCCCAATGACCAGAGTGACTACATGTGACTACCCACACTAGTTGTCAAACACGGCTGGAAACTCTGCGTTTATCATATTTTATCATGGTTTAGTTCCATGATTTTCCCACCTTTTCCCATCGCCACTTGCTTCAGAAGTGACTGTAATTAGAATCCTCGGGGATTCTGAGCCACATGGCTTCACCAGCAGCATCTGCAGGACGAATCGTGGCATATCTTGAGCAGGCGACCGTTGCTCGGACACGATGAGAAAGGGCAGGATCCAGGTGCTCGGACACGGAGCTACCCCAATTTTGCAAATCCGAGAAGTCCTAGAAATGATATGATGTATATCATTGATATCATGATATATCTAGAGATTTAAATATACCACCTTAATTTCTAGACATATCATTAAGTCCCAATTATACCATGATATGTCTAGAGATGTAGATCCAGCCATTAAACACATAGATGATATAATATGATATATATATAAATACATGCGCTGCGAGTGATTAGTCGCTTGCATCTATATTTATGCAAGGCTATGTTCTTGGTACGTCTCGATGCGTGCACAGATCATGACTGGTCAGTCCCAGCTGGGCGTGGATTCTTTTAGAAGTTGGGAGTCATTCTTTTCTGAGAATGGGATCACTTTAAGGCCAACAAAAATGCTGGTTGGTGGTTTGGAACATGAATTTTATGACTTTCCATTCAGTTGGGAATTTCATCATCCCAACTGACTTTCACTCCATCATTTTTCAGAGGGGTAGGTATACCACCAAGCAGAAAACGTTTTCGGCATGGTGAGGCTGTGATACTCCAACACACTCCAAGAACATACTATCAGCATGGGATTGGCTGGATTGGATCCCTTTCTGGCCGAGCTCACCTGAAATTTCATGGTCGAGAATCATCCCAAAGAATTGGGCAGGTCAGGTTTGGGAAGCATTGAAGAATAGCATGAAACAGAATTGCCCAGAAATGTTCACTGATTAGTAAAGAAAGGCCCCCCCCAGTTATGTTTGTTGGATGATAACCTCCTCAAAGTGTAGATACATCTACCGCAACTCCTAATCAACCTGCTGGGGCCCTTGCTGCAAGGCATCAGGGTTTTGAAATCATCACTTTTCCTATTGAAATGGCTATTGGGGGATACATATCCCATTTCCAGACACGCCCCAAATCATTAATCATAGTGTTGATTATATATATATACATCCCATATTATATCCACATGAGTTATAACATGTTATAACCCCATGAGTGACATCCCGAAAAGTATTCTCATGAGAATCCATGATATAGTTATATAACTTGTACCTATATCCAGAACCAAACGATGAGGCGTTGTCGCTGCTGTTCGCTCGCCCCAAAAGCGATGCGTGTGAGCTCTTCTCCCAACTGGACTCCTTGCGAGAGGACGCGGGACTGGTGGATCTGACATGTCTGAGCAATTTTCAGCAGCTGCTCGGGCTCGTCCCAAAGAGACAGATTTCACTCATTGATGGGGATTTCAGCACACATTGTGATTTGAGTTGGGAAAATTCGGGAGTTTTGATGGTGATTTCCTTTCGTGATCTACAGGGATTTAGCCAATAAACATAATAAACATGGGATTAAACTCACAATTATATGGGATCTGTTGGGCATACAAGGGTAGCAACAATATGATTTTGGAATATTTTGGATTTGTGTGAATTCATGGCGACGACGGTCCACATCCTGTGGCCATTCTAATAATAGGAAATTCATGATAAATCAATGGTTTTTGGGGTACCGTATTTTCAGATAACCCCATATGTGGATTTTCACAAACAAACTGGTGATATTCTCCCTGACAAACTTGAGGAATTCGTTGGGATGGTAATTAATTGTTGCTTCTGCATTCAGTCACAATAGGGAGTCTACGGAGATTGTGACAAGGGATCCTTTATCTGCCAGATATGTGTGTTGTGAATTGATATGTGAATCAATGTGTGCGTGTGCGAACAAATCTCCCAACTATCAATATCGTGCTCCTATTTGCCCATGATACGGACTGGCACATCTGTTCGCTCATGGCAGATCCTGTTGATCATGTTTTCAGCACTTTTCAGCAATATAGCAGTACCAAAAAGATCAATTTCGGTGCCCTCTAATCCATCGTGGCAACTTTTTGGGGGTTGCGGTATGTCATTTTGAACTAGCGGCTTTCCAACACCTGTAGCCACTTTGCGCCTGCGAGCTTTAAAAGATGCCAAATCCACAACTTTTCTGCCCAGGTTTGGCGTTCAAAATCCAGGTCGGTGAAAGTCCATCAACAACATTCCCATGGAAACCCATGGAAATTTAATCCCCAAGATTCATCCAACTTGGGATCCATATAAAAACTATCATCTATAAAAGGAGTTTTTATACATCTGGTTTGGATATAAAAATCCAACTTGGAATCTGAGATGTTTCACCTCAGGACCAGGAGATCCTCCAGCAGTGGGACCACTTTCCCTCCATTCCCTCAGTGCTTCTGCAGCTGGACGAGGCGGAACTCGATGCCTTCGATCCTTTTCTCGTTGTTTGGATCTATGGTATACATAAATGACATAAATGTTTGGATTATGACAATGATTATGAAATTTATGAATTATAGTTGGTTAAGGAAACCACCACATACACATATAGTTCATTGTATTTTAAGATGTTGTTAATTTTATTATATTTTAATAATATATATATAGAGTATTAATGAGTATTATATATAACCAATATTATATATATATACAGACGGCGTAGTTGGCATGTGCAGTTGGTCATAGTCATACATGATTGCACCAGTTTTGATGGATGGATTGACTATAAAAACATCCCGACGGATCTTTCACCGTCCCATGATTTCTCAAAAATGTCGTTCTCGTGCTAGCCAAACGCACATTCTGGGTCCAAAAAAGTTTCTTTAAAAAAATCATCGCAAGATGCTTTCGTCAACCCTTCCAGCATTTTGTGGTCAAAAACGTTCCGAGTTCGGTTTTCCTTTTTTCAGCTCACAGCTTTGCCAGGTAGAGGCCCGTTTTGGCCAGCAGGTATCATATCTATTTACATATATCATATCTATATATGTGTCCATATGTATACATGAACATTCATATTCCATATACTGATCGCAATATCGGTGTATGTATACATATGTAGATGCGAATACTCTACAGACAGGTAAGAATCTATATATGCCTCTACGTATCTGTAGTGCAAGCGAACGTTAACATGGCCCACCCCACCCCACCCAACCCCAACCCCATGCGTGACGTAGCATCAACTTCATGACGCAAGTGCAAGCGAACGTTAACATGCCCCACCCCACCCAACCCCAACCCCATGCGTGACGTAGCATCAACTTCATGACGCAAGTGCAAGCGAACGTTAACATGCCCCACCCCACCCAACCCCAACCCAATGCGTGACGTAGCATCAACTTCATGACGCAAGTGCAAGCGAACGTTAACATGCCCCACCCCACCCCACCCAACCCCAACCCCATGCGTGACGTAGCATCAACTTCATGACGCAAGTGCAAACGAACGCTGACATGCCCCACCCCACCCCACCCAACCCCCACCCCAAGAGGCTTAAGATGACATGCAACAAAAATGTCGAATTTGTGGGCCGGTAAAAGATCCGACTGCAAAAACATCTTCATTGCGGACTCTCCACGTTCCAGGTTGATGCGAGCAGTAGATCTAAAGCTGCGGATGAAGTGTCTTTGGACACTCCCGATGCTTGGTTCAACAAACGGCAATGCCACAATAAATGTTCACCGGGATGCATGGTAAGCTGATTTTCTCATAGTTTGGCACGGGAACTTTTTTTTAAATATTTGTTTTAATCACACTATGTCAGAGTACAACCTATTGCACGGTAGAACTGTTTTGTTTCATGGATACGGCATTTTGCATATTCTGAAGTTTCGACGCAGCAACGAGAAATCGTAGCGATCTCATCTTGGGACGGAACCAAAAAGGATTATAATACTGGGCATTACCCTCTGGTTATTTAGCATGCAAATGGAAACCATGGCCCATTTATCGATGATTTTTGATGATTTATGATGATGTAACATTTTTTTAATGATTTATGATGTTTTTTTGATGATTTATGATGATGTACCATATTTTTTTTTTATGATTTATGATGATTTTTTGATGATTTATGATGATGTACCATGATGTTCCCATTTTTTTAATTGAGTTTTTCCATAGCGAACTGTTAGTTTTCCAGAGGGCACTCCATTTTCTCATTGTCCCGGAATTGGTTTGCGGAAACATCTGCAGGACCCCCGTTCTATGCCTGAAATGAAATGAACAATGAAATGTGCAGATTATGAATCTATCCATTTTTCCAGGATGGTAAAATGAGATACGCATGGTTTATCATTGGGTTTACCACATCACATGAGTCACATCAGAGTATATGAAGTACCCAGATGAAGCAACCGCTCAATCACTTGTGGTTCGGGCTTGATATTCTACAGGCCAACTTTGCAAGACTTTCAGCACAGCAACGTGTGACATTTCACTACATACAAAATATATTGATTTGGGAACTACAAGTACCACTCTTTCCGACTTACATGGGGATGGGGATGGGTCAATAAATGGGAACATAGATCCATTTAAGACCTTTTCTGAATCTCACCAGGCTAAGTATCAGGGTCTTCGATCCGTGTAAGCCACTTGTAGGATTTTGATGGAATTCTCCATGATCCTGGGATTTATTTCATGTTTCTCATGTTCCGGCTCGCTGTGTTGGATTCCCAATGGGCAAATATAAATAATTATTAAATATGATTAATTAACATTAATTATGGTTGTAGTATATTATATAAATTATATATACTCTTCGCATGCCCATTATATCTCCGTCTATGGTTGTTTTTTTTTCCCACAAACCATCCAGTCTTGGGGTACATGAAACCAATCTTTGACATGTGAGGATGCACAGCATCGCGAGACTCGGCAATTCGCATGGAAACCCGCGCAGCAGCTTCAAGCATCTGGGCAGGCAAGAGCCAAGACTTCCATTCAATGAACAAGGATGGCAATGGAGACTCCCCGTTCTCAATAGAAATAACGACTGTTATTAGATGGGATTAATTGTATAAACACTGGATGTTCCATTGTCGACTTGGATCTCAAAATTTGGAATTTAGATTCAATGGTTAAGCAGGGCGCAAAATAGATGTGAGTCAGTCAGCGCAACCAACGAAGCTGGGTGGACTGCCAGAAAGTTGTGTTATGGTCAGCAAGAATTGCATCTGGGATTTTAGGGGCACATCATATCTTTGGTTTCTTTGGAGTGGCCCAACTCCAAGCATAAACCCTCAAAGTCATTCCACCGGATCATTCATGTTCCCCACGGACCATTCGGAAGCGGAAGGCCCACTGTAGCCCTCTTGCCGGAGTCATTCAGAAAAGATGGGGAACAAAATTACAGAGCTGGGACTTTACCGTTTTTGGGTATAAGTCATGCAAACTAAAACCCTGATATCTGGATATATCTGGCAGTTCAAAATCTGACAGGGCTGGACATTCACTCTCTAAAATGGTTTCATAGGTCCTGTAGGTGTTGACCCATCCCTATGTCATGCATCCGTTTTGATTGGCAGGAGTCCCCCTTTGAAACTGGCGATCTCAGCTATATTTCGATCCACATATTATGCATAAATTCCATGTATCGGCACATATTCGACATATGTTGCAGCCCAAGAAAATGAAGTGTTCACCGGTGGAAATTGATATCAAACCAACATTTGCTTGTTTATCATCACGTTCCCTCTGTGCAGATACCCAAAATAGTATTGTTGGTTATACATCCCATTACATCGCCAATAGAAAACCATATTAAAAACATCAAATTGTTAGTTTGACATAGTTTAACCCTGTTTTTTCTGGTTAAATCCCAATTTCTGTCGGTCAAATCATTTTTTTGTGCCTTTCATCCCCATCTGCCAGCTTCCAGCAGCTCAGGCCGCAGGCGCCCCGCAGCCAGCTGTGAAGTACCTGCCCCGGTCGGTCCCTGCAGTGCCGGCGCCCGGCGGCCCCGGGGGCACCGGGGGCCGGGGGGGCGCCGGGCCCCAGGTCGCTCCAAAGGCGGGTCTGGAAATCACCAATGGAGCCATGATTTTGCATGGTGATCTATCGAAGTTTGGAAAGACCAAGGCCTCACAAGAAAAACATGGCATTTCAGTTTCGGGTTTCCAAAGATGGGTTTCCCACGGTTTTTGTTCAAACATGTTTGGACCAATCTGGGAAAAAGGCATGTATTGGCTGGTAAAGTTGGCTTTGTCTTGCAAGACTTGGATTGCTGTAGGAGGCAATAGGGGGCATCTTCAGATTTTTTAGGGGCTCACGGTACCAAGCAGCTTGTGTTCCATTCCCTAGGCCCTAGTTGGTGGTTATTGTTTGTTCATTATTTTGCATCATTTTGCAATCCTATCTCATTCATATTTTTCAGATCTTCCAGGGGCTTGAAACCACCAATCAGTCCCTGTTTGGTTGTAAAGCCCCTATTTGTTGGTGAAATCCGCTGCAAGGCAGAGACGGCAGAGTCGCTTACGAGGACATCCTTTGGGGGTGAAAAAAATGAATGGGGCTGAGAAGATATCATTAATTTGCTGAGCCAATAATTTCTTATTTTCCAGCGGGAAATCACTACTTTGGGAATCCATTGTATTTTTTTGGGGGGGTCCTTAGGTCCAAGAGAATGGAGAATGGGAATGAAGCTGAACAGGTGAAGATCACAGTCATCACTTGGTGTTCCACACTGGTCTCCCTTCAGCCTGTGTGGATTTGGCTACGATTAGTTCAGGGACAATATAAATATCATATACAGGTTCCTAACTATCTATCTATCTATCTATCTAATCTAATCTAATCTAATCCAAACCTAAATCTAAATCTAAACCTAAATCTATATCTAATCTAATCTAATCTAATCTAATCTAATCAGATCTAATCTAATCTATCTATCTATACGTATTCACACAACCAAACTTCTTCGTTATACAAAAGCCAACTATAGTATAGATAAATATAGGTACCCCTGAATTCCCTTCGGTTATCAAACATTGCAATCGAAAATCCAACAATTATCTATAAATGTGATTACAGGAGGGTATCCATTCCCTATTAAACCCCTAGGCCCTATATATGTTTGCAAACTGGAGTATCTCTATAGTTATCCCATGAATTATCCCATTAAACCTCATTAAATCCCCATTTATATCATTTATATCTCAATAAATCTTCATCTATCATTGAACTCCCATTAAATCCCCATTTAAATCCCATAAATAAATCCCATTTAGATCATTTTTCAATCCAACCAAAGCTCCCCTAGCTTATCCTCGCCACTTTATCTGTCAGGATGCCGGCCCAGCTCCCAAGTTCTATCACTAGCAGCTTCGATCTCGAGGGTCGCCTGGGTACCGGCGCGGTGGCACAGGTTCTGCGCCTGCGGCAACGGAAGACGGGGATGAAGGCGGGTTTTGTCGGGGGGGGGTCGGGCGCCAGGATGAAGACTGCTTCCGGTGATCTTTTTTGGGGATTCAATACACTACCCATGAAAAATTCTTTGGTTTATATGTATAGTTATTGAATGGTTTGATGATGTTCAACGGAAATTGTTATCATCCAAAATTCCTGCAATATAGGTGTAGCCAACCTCCTCTACCCCGTGCTGCCAGTTGGCCCTGAAAGTTATTGAGAAGCACCCGCTGAAAATTCGAGGGATGCTACCTCAGGCTGGGCTGTTGGGAGGGCCAAGGATCCGGGGGTAAAAATCCTCATGAACTGAAGTTTTCAAGAGCGCAGTTGTCGCTGAGCCAACAAGAAAAAATACATGCACATATAAGTTGTATATGAGCAATCAAAAACAGAGGTGGCATGGCAATGACTTGCCTATATTCAAACCACGGAGTTCCGGTGGATCAAAAGTGTCGATGGAAGGTTCCCCCCACAACACCCTCCTTGGTTTATTTCGGGCTACTTGGTTTATTTTCAGGCTACGATAGAACCACCCAAATAAATGCATATATATATAAATAATTATGTGTATATATATATACATATATGTATATATTGATCGACCAGTTTTGTAAATGGTTTTTCCCTCATGCATTTCCCTCATTATCCTATATTATGTTTGTGTTTCCTTTTTTTTGCTGCACAGTTGTTGATCTTTTTTTGCTACGCCCAATGGCCCACACCTGATAGCGATGGGCTCAGTTGACGCTTCGGTGACCGGGTGTCGTTTTGAGGGACTTGAAACGTTGAAACGATGATCACGATTATCACATGTTACAACCTTTCACCAAGCCATAAGTGTCATTTTGTTCATAAACCTTTTCTGTTTTTGTATCCAATAAATCATATCTATAGATACAATTCACCCACCTATTTCATCGCATTGCCCTTCGGAAGGTGGAACGAGAAGTGAAGATCCACGGGTTGATGCGGCACCCCAACGTCCTCAGGCTGTTCCATTGTGTCACTTGGAGAACGTTTCTATCCAGGCTGAGCTGGTTTCGTTGGGAATTTTCTTCGAAAATTCATAGGAGATTCTGAAGGTCTATGTCAGTTGGTGGGATGATATACCTATGGATAACGGTTTTGTGGAGCCGGTTGGTGGTTTTTCGATGTTTTCATGTTTGTTCCGGTTTCCTGGAGGTGTTAATAAATCATATGCTGTGGGATGATGGGGAAGTCGGAAGGTGTTGCCAAGGACTGGAATATACTAGTATATCCTCAAGCAAACTGGAATGGCCCATTTATAAATTCTCCATAAAAAAAATGGATATTCCAGTTTGGTAATGATTATCCATTATCAATTATCCTAATGGCCCATTCATCCTCTGGAATATACCCATTAAAGATGGTGATTTCCATAGCTATATTGGATTCCCAGAGGGTATACCGACTGTATGTTCTTTCATTTCACCTGTTACCTCTACCACTGAACGATGGCTGACATGCCAGTCGATCATTGCTTCGAAATATGAAGTCCTCGTAGTCCTCGTTTTGTCACCAGATTTCTCCAATTTTCTCGGTGGAAGATCCTGTGCATCACGGATCACGGCCAGGCACTCAAAAACGGAATGGAACCCGGGATAACGTGTGTTAGCAAAGCTGGATCAATTCGATATCATTCGAAAAGATGTTTTGCGTGATATCACCATGTTGATGAGTTAGCGTACGTAAAATAATGTGTGTTGCTTGTTGTGCATGTTCAAAGCTCACGGGTCATATCATTCGGTTTCTATATCTCTTCCAAGGAAAATCACTATTTTCGTTCCATATAGACGAATATAGACGGATTCCAAGTTTTCGAACCTCCGCTGACCCATCTAAGTCTAGGTTCAAGATGAAAGTCATTTATACATGTTCCTGAGCAGCAAGCAGCTACGTCGCTACGTTGCGGATTTGATTTGAAAGATGCCAGTGATGATGAAAAGCAGCAGAAAGGGGGATACAGCCTAAGTATCAACGATCACTTCTTGTGTTGTGGTTGGGATACAACAATCAGGAACTTTTTCATTTTGTTGACATATTATATATATATGTTATATATAATATAATATGTATATACAACAATATATATAATGTGTATATATATATTGGGCAATCAACATGGTACAGAACATGTACAAAAATGAGGTTCTCACCCTTAACCGCAATAGAAGGAACCAGCGAAAAATCTCCGACACACAGCATGGGGACAGACCCAAAACCCTAAAGCCGTTGTGCTTTGATCAACACGACAACATTTCTTTGGTGAATGATTTTATAGTGTTTTAATGTGATTTTATAGTGATTTAATGGGATTTTATAGTGATTTAATGGGATATTAGTGGGATATACCCTCTGGTTATGACTAACATAGCCATGGTATAGATGGTCCATAGAAATAGATGGTTTACCGAACTTAAAAATGTGTGGTGATTTTCCATGGCGAAATGTTAGTCATAACCAGAGGGTAGTTTCAAACGTAATGGCTGTCTGTTCTATTTTATGAAACTTGGGAGAGGACCTAGTTTAGGACCAAAACTCAATTTGGTGAAAAAAAACATATTAAAACATATTAAAGAAACATATTAAACATATTAAAAACATATTAAACTTGTCCCCAACGTTTGGCAGGATGATCCCAGCTGACTGATTGGCATTGAAGCGCCAACTCATGGATGCATATTGATGCAACAAGCCTTCGGAGACAGAAGTTGCTCCTGACCTTGTCATTGCCACCAGCTCCTGTTCGGGGGAACCCCAAAAAACATCGAAAAGTCGATCATCATCAACACGTACGTGTGGATATGATATACTATTACCATCAATTATACATATTAATATATATGATATTTCTATTATATACATGATTATATAATGCTCAAATAGGGAGGAACATTTCGATACACACATCTGTATACATATGATACAGAAAAAAAACATCAAACCAGAAGAGGCTACACCGGCACCTCATCACTTGATATGTGAGGATTCTGGAGCTGGCAGAGAGCAGTTTGCGGAGCTTTGGCAGCATAGATTCTACATCTGCTTTTTGATTTTTTTGAATTGTAACCCCCCAAAAAGATAGAAACAACTTGTTATTAGGATTTTATATGCATGATTTTACGTTTCTGTCTTTTTAGGGGTTGGCCTTTTACGTCAGATTTTTCGCCTTGAAAATGTTGCCAGATTCTTCCAGAAGCCGCCTCGCCGGAATGGTGGTTGAAGCATCAACAAGTGGGATATAACCCATTTACTCATTATGATATGCCCATTTACCATCTGGTTATTTAACATAACCATGGTATAGATGGTCCATAGAAAAAGATGGTTTACCTATAAAACATCGTGATTTTCCATGGCTATGTTAGTCATAACCAGATGGTATAGATGATTTCCCTGGTTCTATCCGCATACCTGCGGGCCTCAGGACTTTGATGATGAAGCAACCCTTACAGCGCTTGAAGGAGCCCTTGGAACCTCAGCTGAAGCCATCCATTCGTGATCTGCGGCCTGCAAGGAATGTATACTGTATGGATGTATAATGATGTAGTGGTTGGTGGTTTGGAACATTTTTTTCCATCTATTGGGAAGAATCATCCCAACTGACTTTCATTTTTTCAGAGGGATTGACACCACCAACCAGATATTAATTGACACTTGTTTCCCAAAGACAGACACGTAAATCTCTAAAATCATGATGATTAATTTGCTGTTCTATTTTTTTGGAATGATTCTATCTGTATATATATATATATACACATTATATTATTCTATCATAGAGGGTACAGATAGGCCCTCCCCCGACTAAACATGATGACACTGCCATTGAGTTGGGGGTGGAAGCTCACTTTCCAACCCGAGAACTGGGTATTTCCAGGGCCCGTTTTTTGTATTTTTTGATGAAACTAGATCTGATATATCATGCATTCTTAGCATATTCTTCCTATTTTTGCACTGGTTGGTTCAAGCAACAAAGGGGCCACAGCAATGTCAGCTACAGCCACTTTCACGTTTTACGTTCGGAGTTCACGCAGGCTATTCCCCATATAAGTTTGCAAAGAGGCAGCAACCGCAGTGCCATCATCACCGAGAGCTGGGTACTTTAGTGGGACCGGAATCCAATGGACGCACATAGACAAAGTATTTCTGGTTGGTGGTTTGGAACATGGCTGGATTATGACTTTCCATATATCGGAAATACTGATCCCAACTGACGAACTCATATTTTTCAGAGGGGTAGGTATACCACCAACCAGGTTGTCTTCACTGTTCCACTTGGAAGTGTTCCACCCTCAATCCATTCAACTGCAGGAGATGATCTGCATTTATGGTGAGTTTCATCGTGAAATAAATTGAGCATCTGTTTTATGTTGGTAAATTCACCCTTATCAGACACACGCAACAATAAATTAACTAGTTCGATATATCTACCAAAAACCATAGTTCTTGGAGTTCTCTTAGCCAACTTAGCTATCGTTTGGAGACCCCACTTTGTATCTGTTCATGTAACACATAATGTTTTTTGCTATCTATATTTGATTAATCATATTACATATGCAGATGATCTTTATATTGTTCATGTTTAACATTATATATAATACATATATATATACACATACACATGGGTTTGATATCTTATTTTGTCTCAATAATACTATGATATACTATAATATACTATAATACTATATATTTGCATACAACCATTACCACTTCCAATCATGATTTGTTTTGCTTTACTTTTATCATCCAGGCTGCAGCCCTCTTCAAGCAGATCGTGGACGGTGTTCAGCACATCCATAGGAAGAGATGTGCACACCGAGAAGCTTGGTTGGCTTCAGGGATTCAAAAAAAAAATCCGAGGAGATGTGCACACCTGGGGAGAGATCATAGCATATTATAACATATTATACCCTCTGGTAAATTAACATAGACCCTGGCAGATATGGGTTGGAAGATTAGTGTCCATTAAAACTAGGCTATTTTCAGGGTCTATGTTAATTTACCAGAGGGTAACATATTTATAACTCATCCCAAAAATGACAAGCCGCAGCAACTGCAGGGGATTTTTTTAGGATGGTTTATTGTTGTAGACCCCATGAGTCATTACACATGCTTAGTAAGAGGAGGGGACCAGACCGGTATGCCCTTGCGACCCGAACAAGGCACTAGTAGAGGAATTGTTTTCACATGGGCATATTGTATCTCCTAACTATGAACCATATGTAGATCCGGGAAATTTATGACGACAGGTTCTATTTGTAACTGAAAATCTCCTAGAATGCCTCATTTCCAGCTTAGGAATGTGCCTAGACTCAGAATTTCACCATTCATTAACCGCCAAGGACTTGAAGCCAGAGAACATTCTGTTGGCAGGCAACGCATGAGTAACGAATGTGTGCACGCTGGGGAGATCTGGGGATATCTGGGGATATCTGGGGATATCTGGGGATGTGCGAGACCAAACAACGCGGATTGTGTCTGTCACAAGATAAGGATTTGTTTGGGTACGTATCTCCCGGCGAGTAATCCAAGATGATTCCATGATTCACCTCCAATTGAAGCACTCGGTGATATACATTGGGTTCTTGTAATTTTCGATCATGTTGCTTAAATATTAAATCGGCACACTGAATTAGCATATTCATATTTAGTATATTATGTATATTGTGATAAAATCCCAATTTTGCTGACAAAAATAGCATCGTAAACTATTTCCGGACATTTTTCCACATGTAAAATTGAGGGTAATTCCCCAAACCCATTGGGTTCAAATCCCCGATTTTTTCTTGGGTTATCCCTCCTTCTTTCGATATTGGGCCATTGGATCTTCATTATATCCCAGCCAAATCACCATTGGTCGATTGTAAATCACCAGCCAAACCATCTATTTTCCATGCCCATGATAATTTGTCCCATATAGCACCCTGATTTTACCATGTATGATAAACCCAAATTTTCATATCCATACTGAAAACTATCCATGTTTTCAAAAGCAGCTAGAGAAATCAACATCTTTATTGGTTACATCCTTAAAAACCGTCCAGTTGTTTAGTGTTCCTTTTGGGTTAAATCATTTAGTTAAATCCCTTATTTTCATTTGCTTTTCAACTTTATATCCCATATTACATCTCCTTTCAAATGGTTTTGACAGAAGGCCATAGTGAAATCCCCATATTTCCCGGGTCGAGCTAAAAATCAGAATTTTGGTTACATCATCTTCAATCACCATGTCATAGGCGTCGCCTGGCCTAGTCCTAGTTCATGATGTCATCAATGATGTTTTTGTTGGATGTCTATATGTTTAATGTGTCACCATGTTTTGGTTGGCATGTTAAACCATTAACCATTGATAGGATAATTAAGCCTATTAACCATTAATTAACCATAATTCACCATCATTATAGACTATTAATTAACCATTAACCATTAACCATTCTACCATGAAATCCCCCGTTGTTCTCGGTGAAAGTCACTGCCAGGGTTGTGCCCCAAGATCTGCGACTTCGGCTGGTGCGCCGATCAGCTCCTGGAGTCGGAGCCGCGGCGGCGGCGCACCACCTGCGGCAGCCATCAGTACATGGCGCCGGAGGAGGGGAGAAAAAAGCCCGGAGAATGGGGGAAAAATGTGGGAAAATGGTGGATTTAGCCATAAAACATGGTGATTTTCCATGATTATGTTAGATATAATATATATATAAATATTGATTGATTGGTAACAAGGGATAATGACATATGATAATGGCTAATCAATTGGTAATCTATGACTGATTGGTGGTTTGGAACATGACTTTTATTTTCCATATATGGGATAATCCTTCCCATTGATTAATATTTTGAACATGACTTTTATGACTTTCCATATATTGGGAATGTCATCATCCCAACTGACGAACTCATATATTTTTCAGAGGGGTTGAAACCACCAACCAGGGAAAAAATGGGAAAACATAGGGGGATTTCCATAGTCATGGGGGTACCCCAATAGCTGGTTGGTTTATGAAAATCCCAAGCGAAAATGGATGATTTAGGGGTAGCCCTATTGTAGGAAAGCTCCATATAGCAAACCCCAAACATAGGGAATGTAACTAAGGAAAATAGGGATGTAGTGGGGAACTAAGTCCCATCTAGATGATTTTTCCATTTTTTTTACCTAAAGATTATGATTTTCCATAGCTGTTGAAAATCCAGGTAGATTCCCATTTTTGTTGACTAGATGATATCCCCACTATCCCAATTTTCCCTAGTTGGGAGTGTACATCATGTTACATCCCTATGTGTGATGGGATGGTGGGGATTTGTTGAGTTCGTAAACTGTGAAATCACCAGAAATTGGCCAACTTCGGCCAACATCTCTGCAAGGTGAGGTCCCTGTTTGCGATAGCTAAATTGACGCACATAACTTGGTGAACTGTGGTGGCTATGGGGGATATAACATATATAACTATAGACTTAATTTATGTTATATATATGGGGGTTTATGAACCAACCAACTTCAAACTGCGGGGCCTCACCATACGTCGCGCTCCGTTGGAGCTGCAAGCAGGTCTTGTTCAGCGAAGGCCACGGCAAGGAGGTGGACCTCTGGAGTCTCGGGGTGCTTCTTTACGACCCTCGGAGGGACCGGATGAAATGGTGGTGAACATGGGGGACGAAAGCCCAAATTTTTGGGTTTAATGATGTTTAATGGGGAACAAGGGATGATGTTTTTTTTTTAAAATATTTTATGAAGCGGATCATAAATAACTGATATACTATACTTTGCTGATTTACAGTAGGGGAATGGAAACTTGCTTTGGAAATCATGGGTAAATCATTGAACTAAATGGTCCATGGCTGAGGTCAGTGGCGGTCAGATCTGATCTGATCTGGGAACACTTCCTGACCCACCAAAAGGATTGTTTGCCGAAAGGGGGATGATGCCCTCAAAAAGGGTCTTTGAAACAAAAATGACACTGGGGCCTGCCCCAAGAAATCCCAGTATAGAGTATATATGTATATATAATGTGTATATTATATATATAGAGTGTCCCAGTGTTCAGTTTCACAAGCCTCAGGAAAGATTCTGATATTTAGTGAATTTAGTGGCGATGTGGGTCAGCTTCGCCCAGATATTGGATTGATGCAATCTGTTTCCCCTTTTGTTCAGACCTTGATAAGAACCTATGGTGATTGGTGCAGCTTTGAACCTTGATGAAACACCTCCACTGTCACAAGACATGCCTTTACAATTGAGAACCATGTACTGTAATCTGTACCGGTAATCTGTAGCCTTTTGTCCAAGATTCTGCAGAAGAATCTCTCAATCGTAGAATCATGCCTACTCTTCAAACATGACCTCAAGATTTTCAACACAAAAACCTTGACAAACTTCTAGCAGTTTTGCCATGTTTTGCCCTTCAACTGGACCAACTATTCGCATTGTTCCACTCAGGAACTCTTGAGTGGTGTCACACCCTTCCTGGCTGCTGGCAATGGCAAATCGTTTCAACAAAAGGCGCATGGCAGTCTGAGCTCCAAGCTATGTCAAAATCCCGTGGTTGATCCAGACCCAACTGAGCGTATGCCATTTTACATCCCACCATTAAACATATCTACTACACGTATTGCAAGGTTTTGCCACGGATTCCGCGTTTTTTTGCTGCCACGGCGACAGAAACGCAACGCAGGTTCATATGGTTGAGACACTTGGGCTGGAAAGGGACTGGAAAGAGATGCATTCATCTCATTTGGTTTGTCTGAAGATGGCGAATACCTCAGATCCAAAGTGGAGATCTTCATCATTCTTAATCCCTCCCGTATTATTCAATACCATCAAACGAAGCCTTGGCTTAGAGTTCAGTGTATGTATATAAGATAACTTAAGATATGGCAAAATTGATTTATTTGGTGATAGGCCGGAGCCAATACTATCAGCGGTATCATCCACGATCAAGAGATGGTGATGGTTCAAAACTTATGATTTTCGGTGAGATATTCCATAGGTGAACCTATGATCCGTACCAAAAATCAAGAGCTTGTGATTTTCCATAGATATATTGACGTGAATAAAGATCCAGCTACACCAATGAATTCATGTTCACCATGTGCCCCAATGTTGTGATCTAAGGTACCCGTGCCCCCCATGGTTTTCCCACGAAGCCTGTCATTTGGTGCGCGGCTTGTTGCATCTCAGCTGCCGAATGGTTTGGTAATTGGTATCCCCTAGTGGCCATCTGTGGGGCAAGTTGCAACGAATTTAACGGGTCTATTTTCAGACAAAGCCATATTAGTAGGGGTTTGTTTATGGGAGAATCACCACCATCCGCTCAAGCAACTTTACCCATTGTTTTTCTCCAAGAATGGGAGGGATACCACCAAAACGGCAATGGTAGTAGGGTACATTATTTTTTGGCACCCTATTTTCAGATAAACCCATAGACAATTGAGTGTAGAGTACCAATCTGGTTACATTGATACTCTGGAAATCAGCAAACCATGGGTCTGTTTAACGGCTAATTTGCAATTTTTGGAACCTCAATTTAGCATGGAACATGGTCAATTTCTAGGCGATTTATAGACCTATGATTTTGGTCGTGTTTTTTTTGCAGCTATGTTAATGTACTGGAGGTTGTGGAGGTTATATCAATTACTTCTCCAATTCATGAACATTTGGTTCCACTGTAGTTGTTTTTTTCCATCCCTGTCTGCAGGAACATACTCCTTTGAGTTGTTTGAAATTTTCTGGGGACATGTGAAGATCCAGATCTGCAGCCAGCTTTGTCCGTGCCAGCAGCCAACGTCTGCAGCATGTTATGTTCCCTCAAGGATCCATGGTCAGTGGCTCACAAACACAACACGGAGGGTGTGTGTGTTAAACCTACAAAAATCTCAGTTTGAATTGGCATTGGTGGTTTATAATTATATTACCATATATTACCCAAGAAACTGGGAGAAATTCACCGCAACAGATTGCTGGTTGATGGTGCAGTTACAACCTGAAAAAAATCGAATACGTCATCCCGCTGAGGCAACGCTTGCCACAACATCGGAGACCCTTGACAGAGGCGATGGCTTGTTTAATGTCGGTTTAATGGGATGGAGATTTAATGAGATTTAATGATATGGAGATTTAATGGGGTGTTACAATATGTTACAATCAAGAATGGAGATTCTAAATCTATTTTCCCCACTAGTTTACCCTCTGGTAGTCAAACATGGACTTATCTAGACCTTAGACAGGTCTTGCGACATCCTTGGCTGCAAAAATACTTCCGCGCCTTCCTACAGCAGCTTCAGCAGCACACCGCGCGGGCGCGCGCAGCAGGAGACGGGTCAAGATTTTGGGGCAACCATGGAACCCACCATTCATCGGTCATTCTTCGAATCTTTTTTTTTGGTAAAGCCATGGTATTTTCATCCACTTTATTTAGTGAAATACCATGATTTCATACCCGCAGTGAATTCCATGTTCCATGGATGTTTGGGTAATTTCCAAATTGTTGTGGGTCAAACCCCACCCCAGGTGCCCTAAGTTATAGCCGGCCCATTCGTATGGTTATAAGTTATAGATATAATAGGTTTCGACCCATCCCCAGATGATTCATGTTCTTGAAGAAGTTACCCTCTGGTAATTTAACATAGCTATTGAAAATGGCCATTTATAGTGGGTTTTCCCATTAAAAATGGTGATTTTCCATAGTTATGTTAGTTTACCAGAGGGTAAAGCATCTGAAAGCCATCCATGGTGATAGTCACCAGGAGCCAACAAGAGCTTGAACAAGACTTGGCTCCTTGGTTCAGGTCATAGCAGATTTTTTTTATTTTTTCAGAGTGGGTGATAAAAAATGATAATATTTTGTAATCACTATAGTGATTATTTTGGGAATATGTATAATATAATATAATATATAATATGTGTATATATATATATGCACATCATTTGATTGTTATTATATATTATATATATGTTATTTATTTATACCATCATTATCCCAAACAAATCACCACACAATGGTTTGTTTGGTTATATTTCACCCTCTAGTAAACAAACATAGCTATGCAAAATTGCCATTTAGTTCGATGAGATGATTTACTAACCTATATTAAAACTGGAGATTGTCCATAGCTATGTTGGTTTACCGCAGGGTAGATGGTGTTGGTTGGGTAAAATCAGCAACAGGTGTAATACATGATGGTAAATGGATGTATACAATCCAGGTGTACACACATGTTAGGAAGTACAGCGATTTCGCCCTTTTCACAAAAAGACACTGTCGGAAGTAGCGAGCAGAGACTGTCCATCGCTGGAATGTGGGGGAGGAGATCAATCTCACAACCATCTCGCCAGAAATGATGCCTTTTCTTCGGGCTTTGGGAACCACTATCCCAAATAGCAATGCCATATCCGGAAAAAGCAAGGCGAAGACATAGAATTTTCACTGCGGCTCAGATATATACAGATATATACAGCAAAAAAATGCAGGGTATCCGAGATTGGCATAGATTGGCCATATTGTTGCAGCATGTTGCAGCTAAATCCCCAGGAAATAAAGCCAATGTTTGCTGAATCCTGAGGTGCCGCGGGCTCCAGAGCCCCGTCCGGCGACCGTGTCCCGCGCGACCAGCTGCACCCATGGGGCCAGGTAGGGCCGGGTATGGGGTACTAAAAGGCGGTTGGGACCAATGAGTTTGGATGATTTTGGGATGATGGTTTTTCGGATGATTTTCTGGATGATTTTTGAATGATATAATATATATATATATATATCGGATGATGTTCGGATGAACTGATGTTATTTTGATCATCTTCAGGATTTTTTGCAGATTTTGCAAGTCATCATGATGTGTGTTTAACCACAAACGGATTTTGGGTGAAGCCTAGGTCCATGCCATAGGGATCATTTTGCCTGGCTGCCTGGCTGCCATACCTTAAACAAGCCATGGGACATCCCAATGGGACGACCATAAATTGGCCATTTTTTTTGGATGTGAACCGCAGAGAGTACTGTACAGTTTGACCCAACCTTTGCTTGCGGGTTTCTCCATGGCTAGGACTTCGGTTACCGCTAGCTTGTTTGTTCATTTTTCCATACATTGGGAAGTTCATCATCCCAACTGACGAACTCCATCGTTTATCAGAGGGGTAGGTCAACCACCAACCAGATTACTAGTAACCATCATTAACCATACAATAACCATCATCATTAACCACTATTAACAGTATTTTGTTACATCATTAACAGTATTTTGTTACTATTACTATAGATACTAATAACCATCATTAACCATCATCATTAACCACTATTACCACATAGTAACCAGATGTTCCCTGGAAACCAACTCCCCAAATGGTGATATTCACCCATCTCAACTCTCCAGGTCCTTGCCCTTTGGGTCCCTGTTCGGTTGCACCTGGCTGCGCGGCACCGCCGGCACCGCCTCTCGGCGCTGGCTACTCCTTGCGATATTTTTAAACAAAGCATAGATGGAAGTAGAATGGGGATGTTTTTTGGGATCTTAGTATGATTATGATTATTGTATACATGAGTATGGGTCAAAATTAGGTACCCCAATAATTGGATGGTTAATACTAAACTAGACTAACATCTGTGGTCCCCTAGGTCTTCCATTTTGACCCACATCCACATAGAGTGTATGAAATATACATAAAAAATGGGAAGATGATGATAAACCTTCAAATTTGGTGAAGATTTGTGATGGATAAACCCAAGCAAAAGGATTACCAATATTGTGTACCCAACCGATAGCGGTTCAACAAAGATTGGGCAGCTTCGTGCGCTGGGGATTTTCACTGGCGTGGCCTGGTATGACCTGCATTTGTACGGCAAAGGTACCAGTCATAGACGTTGGATGATGACTGGGGTTATCCTCCAAACTGTACCCCCTGTCATCAACACAGTTGGATTTTTGTTGGCCATGGCATGCCATGGCTATGTAATCCGATCCCAGTATAGCTTCTATGAAATACTTCCCCAAGCCCTGATTGGAAAAATCTTGGAGTCCCAGGTTGGGAGGTGCTCAGCCACTGGGTGTTGGTCACCCGCGATCTCCCAGGTACAAAGGGTAGAGAAGGGTGGCATGGAAACATCAGAGATTTCATCAGACCAGAAGCGAAATCGAAACTTAACGAAATTTAAACCATCAAAGATGGGGAGTCTGAGTAGCAAGAGTTGGGGATATGAATTGATATGAATTATCATTAAACCTCTGTATATCTTCAGCAAAAATTGGGGACATCAGCGCGTGCGGTAGCCTGCGAGCACCAAGACAAGGAGGTATCCATCCCAAAAGACAGGTGATCACCACTAAATTACCCTCTGGTTATTTAACATAGCCATGGTATAGATGGCCCATAGAAATACTGTAGATGGTTTACCAATAGCATGGTGGATCTTTCCATGGCGAACTGTTAAATAACCAGATGGTATTTCATCTTCTTGCTTGGCCAACTTGCAGTGACGGTAACCTTGACCCTGCCATTCTTGACATGTTTTGTCGGGATATCACCATTTTTCAAGGTAAATCATCGAACCAAGGGGCCATGTTCCAGTTCGCAAACTCTTAAGATACTTTTTTTCTCTCCATTCTTAGAGGATTTTCTATAGCAATCTATAAAATTACCGGAGGGGAAACTAATTACTGTGGTATTTGTTTTGCATATATAATATGCCTTTCCTCTTGGGATAGGCTGCGTGAAGTACTGTATGTTGATGATAGCGATCCCCAATTCCATCCTTTTCTGCTTCTTTTACGATTTAAAGCTCGCATACAAACTGATTGTTTACATGTACCACAGCCCGGCAAGACCATGCCGACATTTCTTCGGTGGGTCTCCTAGGCAGCCAGAGGCGCCACGGATGCATGCAGCCTGGCAGCATCAACATCATCACCATTTCCGCAAAAATAATGTGATTAGTACCTTAGATTTTGAAACCGGAATCCCCTTCAAGTTGTTGAGCAGGTCAGTGTCGTTGACGGGGCTGCAAGGCACTGGAAAACATGACAGCAAGTTGGGACTAGGTCTGTTCCTAGCTGAATTTGTGTTGAGACAACTAACAGACCCTTAGGCCCGTAGGCCGTAGGCCTTCATAACAACTGATGTGCCTCTTTTCCGTGGGTACTCAGACTCAGTGTTGATCTTTATCACTTATCTTCCAATCTGCTTGGTGGTTTAAACTTTATTTGTTGGGTTCTCTTATTGGTTGCAATGACCATCCCAATCGACCACTTGCTCATCCACTACTAAGCGAGTCACTACATATTTCATATGGCGTATATCTTCCTTTCTCTCCCGGTTCGAAAAAGAAAACCAATCATGTACATTCATTCCAATCACTCATGCCCCAATTTTTTTTGGGGAGGTGGTATAGGTTCCAGCCCCAAAAGTCTTCACCCATCTGAGAATTCTCCATGGCGCAAGGCTTACCCTGCAACCCCCCAGGGGCGCCCTGCTGGGGTTCCTTGGAACCCTCGTGTTCCAGCGCCGGCGCCTCCGGGGCCTCCCCTGCGCAGCCATCGGAGTCCAAGGGACCCGACACCCGTTTCAGGCGGATTTTTCGAAGGAAGTAGGGCCCAAGGGGATGGGCAGAAGATGGGTTGTTTCACCATGGGTCCATGGGTTATAACGGCTGTATCATTATCACCATGATTATGTTTATGAAGGTCATGATGGAGATATTTGCTCACCATTGCTCACCCATATGCTGGATATTGTTCCATAATTTTCAGACAAAGCCTTAATGCGAAATACAAGTCTGTGTATTCACAGTGCCAAGCTGGCTACATTTTACATTGGGATACTGGAAATCAATTCCAAACCAGGGTCTCTTTAAAGGCCAGTCCTGCAGTTTGGGGGTATGCCCCATTTTCAGACACACTGAAAACTAAAAATGGTTAATTCTTCAATAATCCCGTCGTATCTCCAAGAGATCCAGCCACAAAAAGGTTGGTTTAATCCATTGTTTATTGTTTGAACCCATTTATAATATTTTAGAATTATACTGAAGTAGATATTCAAACGTTCTATCTTACCACGTTAGTGGTGTCTTTTGAGTTTCCCATATTCTATCTTTTCCAGGACGACTATAAATAGAATATGAGCTTTTGAATGATATTCCCAATTTTACTGAGGATGTTCTGAGATTTCCATGTTCTATCTACTCCAGGATGACTCGCAAGCCAATAATAAAATATAATAGACCATCCCCCCATGATCTACCTAGAAGCATTTTATATGGAAATTACTATGTTTTTTGCATGTAAAACATAACCGGAAAAACAATAACTTGCAGAAGGGGCGCTCATAGGGGGCAGGTTTCTGCACATGGATGTTTTAATATATTTGGGTCGTAATTATAATATCTAATGCATTATTATTGTTCAATGGCAATGACTGATTCAAATCTTTTGTCTGACCACTTGACCCCCTGGTCTGCTTCACCCTATCATCTGCTTCACCTTTCATGCAGCCAATAATGCCTACAACCATACTTGTACAAGAAAAAACAATATTTTGAGACTCTTTGGGGAGGGGTTTGAGCTTGGAACCTGAAACTCGAACAACTTGGGCCACATCGAGAAAAGCAAACAACACCTGGAAAAACAAAACAAAAACTCAAGCAAAACAAAAAAAACAACTTTTGGGAGAATGTTTGGTTTTGACTTGTGTTTTTGGGTTTCCCTAGTTTTTTTTTGTTTAATATGTTGGTTCTGAAACGGGAAAACCAAAAAAAAACATTGTTTTTTGTTTTTTTGAATGGATATGATCAATCAAGATCTCAAACAATCAAACAAACCTAAGTTGTTTTTGTTTTTTCAACATTTTAGGTTTGGTTTTCTGCATTGAAACGTCTCAAAAACCAAACATTCTCTCAACAGTTTTGTTTTTTTTTTGTTTTTGCTCGAGTTCTTTGTCTGTTTTTGTTTTTTTTCTATTGATTCACATGATTGCCATTTGTGTCCTTATGCTTGCTTACCTTATCGGTCCTGGGAAGTCAAATTTTGATCAAAGCTTCTCTCTCAAGAGCTTGCGCACTGTGTGAGACTAAGCTTGGCATAGGATGTGCTGTGATGTTTATGCACTTGAAAATTAACTGTTGCAGCGCTTTCCTGCTCTATCTCTAGCAACTTCTGTGCAAATCTTGGAATCTCGGAACCTTGGATTCGTTCATACACATTCCTGTCTAGGTTTGACATAGTCAAACAAAGTATATAAGTACCTGGAAGACACTGTTGGATACTTTGGGGGGAATGGTGGGGTATTTCTTTGAGAACATGTAACATTGCTTTGTAACAGAATGCTTCAATAGATGCTGCAGGGCTTTGAAAGAATCTTGCCTGTAAAGAAAGTCCTTCATTGGATGCAGTATTTGAATCAAAGAGTACCGGAGACATTGCGTAAACTAGTTGAGGCCAGTGGGGCATTTTGTAAAAGAATGTACTGTTTCTGTGTCGTAGAATGCGTCAATAGATGCAGTTGTAGTAATTTGAAAGAGTCTTACCTCTAAAGAAAGTCCTTAAATGGATGCAGTACTCTTTTGAAAGAGTATTGGGCATATTGCATAAAATGGTGGAGCATTTTTTAAAGATTGTACTAGTTCTTTCAAACGGATAGATGCAGTAGCACTTTGAACCAGTTTTGCCTTGAAAGAGAGTCTTTGAACGGACGCAGCACTCTTTTGATGTGTGCTGTATTCTTAAGCACATGTAGTAGCGCAGCATCACTCTTTGCATTATTCGATTACGAAAAGTATGAGAAAATGGAACATTGCTTTAGACTTTAGACTAGCATACGTTGCAAGACTCTTTCATGGGTGCAATATTCCTTAGAAAATGCCAACAAACATGTGAGGTCCCTTTGAAAGAGCACAGAATTACTTCATTAAGAAAGCTCTCTTAGTCTATGCAGTATCCATTGAAAACAGTACACGATGTATTTAAAAAAGAGTTGTAGTGCAAAGGTGTATGGAAGGTATATTATGATAAAAACATGTTTTCATGGTCAATAAAATTGTATATTGAAGGGATACTGAAAAAAACAAAGGTATATTCATGGTATATGAAACGATACACTCAAGGTAGATGACATGGTCTATCAACAGTATTTCAAAAGGAATATCAAAAGATCGTAAAGATATATTAAAGGTATGTTAAAAGGGATATGAAAAATATATTCAAGGTATTCTCATGTTTTGTTAAATGGTACACTAAAGGTATAGTAACTTCTGAATTGGTATATTAACGGTATATGTATTGAAGGTATCGTCAATGCATACTAAAGTTATTTTCAAGGTCAAGTAAAAGGTATATCAAAGGTAGATTCTAGGTTATCAAATGATATACTAAAGGTATATTATATAAATTGTATATTACAGGTATAGTATAGATGTATTGGATGGCATTTAAGAGTTGCATCAAAGGTATATTCAAGGTATCCTAAAGGTATATTAGAGGCAAGAACATGACCAATAAAATTGTATTTATATAAAGGTATACTAAAGGTATATTAGATTGCATGCATCGAAGCATTGAAGGTGTTTAAATTGTATTGAAAATACATATTAAAGTAAAGGTATCTTGAAGATATTGCCAGCCAATAGAATGGTATATTAACGATATATTGAAGCTACAGTAAAGGTATAGTCATTGTATTTTAAATATGTTTGATCAACACATTATTCGTATTATGTTACCTCTACTTCATCAAAACACAGAAAACCATGGTCATACAAGAGAAGTGAGAGGAAGGCTGAGCTTCATTAAAGCATGTATATCCTTCCACACATTATAGTTTTCTTGCAAGAATAGTGTTTCTTATGTGAGGGATTATCTTGTCTTCAAGGCAGATTGTAACCTGTAAGCAGCATTTTCTTGTAACATCTTGTAACAACATTTTTCTGCAAATCAAATGCCTTGAACACTTGTTTCTTATTTCTGCATCTCCAAAGCGACATCAACCTTTTTATGAGCAGAGAGCACCAAAAGGGTCTTGCATAGTAGTCAAAGGTGGGCCATGGGCAAAGATCAGTTAAAACCTTCATTGGGGATCATTGGGGAAGATCATGGGGGGGTGAGCATATATATGTATAATATATATATACATTTGTATATATATATATATTATACATATGTATACTTGGTGGCTCATCCCTCTTACTAATGTAGGTTATATCCCTTTTTTTTCAGTTGCATAATCCGTAGGTCGACCTTGGCCACCGACGGCGACGCAAAATCTGTTGGTTGGAAAACGGAGCGTGGCACTGCGGGCGGCTACGACATGTTGCCATGGGTCAAAGTGGTTTTTGATCCTTAAAATAAACAGAGGAATTGTTTTTCGTTTTGAATTCCTTTGAAAAACAAAGATTTTGGGTTTTGATGAGGTAAGTAACAAAAATGAAGTTGTTAATCTGAGAGAAACCACAGAAATCACTGAGTTTGATTGATTTTGAAGGTCGTTTTGAGTATATTGAAGCATCCAAAGTGGAAGCATTCAGTTCTGAGCCATAGTCTTACGAGGGCATTCAACCACATGTTCCCAGATTATGATGAAGGGACAATTTACAGGAAACTTCTAAATTTGGGTGTAAAACCCCATGGTTTCCTGTAAAGAAGCAAAACTGAATGACACGTTGTTACTTTTCTTTTCTTGGGTTCCTTTTTTTGTTTCTCAGAAAAGGACCCTGTTTGATTCATGATGGCCACATATTGGTCAGCAAATTTCACGCCCCGCTAAGCCCTGAGGTTTCATCGGTGACATCTCCACATAATGTAACCAAGTGATAATGAGTACTTATGGTTTATGACAAGGTCCAAATGGTAAAATCGAGTGTTTCCATAATTTCCCAGTTTTCCCCATAGATATTCCATAATAATAGTTGTACCATAATTAGTCCATCATGATCCACCTCTTTTTTCCAGAGATTATACCATATACCATTATCCGTTGAAGTGTGTTATTATCCATTAACATCATTTATGGAGATACCATATTGTGGATTATATGGACATTCAATATCCATGTACCATAATTGTCCATTGCCATCATTAATGTCAACTCTGGATCAATAAACCTCTACGCTGTTTTATTAGGGGGTACCATTGCATCAGATTCTAACTATTTGGAACATCCCCCTTATTAAGAAGCAATGATTTATCAATCCGGAGTTGACATTATCCATTATCATTATCCATTATCCATGATCATGTCCTGATCATTAACTAATCTATGATTCATCTACTATCATTATGGGGTTGGTCCTATATTTGATGGCAAAAAACCCATGGTTTCCTGTAGATGTTCCCTTCATCAAATCGACCATCACCGAGGCTGCAAGGGAACTGGAGCCGAAGGCTTGGTGGATTTGGAAACCCATCAACTCCAGCTGTGGTCCGGCGTGCCCAGAGGGGCTCCCGTTGAGGATTTGATCCTGGGAAAGTGATGATTTCACGGTGAGGACTTTTGGGGATTTAACAAGGGATTGAGATTTAGCCAGGAAATTGAGGATGACATTGTTTCAGGGCCCAACTTGCACTAGGGTGATTTTAGGCAGATGATTCCAAGGAAACACCGGAGAAAGCATGGTTTCTGCCTGGTTTTGCCATCAAAATTTATGGGTTCCTGTGAATCACTTCCAGGAGATGCGGATGAAAGTAGCAGTTTCAGGCAGTACCAGTTCTGTTGTTGCACCTCTTTGGATGATGAATCACACGAACATGTGGCTATTGAAATATTGATTAGAGCCAAACAAACTAATATTTCGGACTGGTTCATTCTTGTTACCCTCCAGGAATCAAACATGGCTGGGAAATCCACGAACTAAATGGGCATTTAGATACAAATCATCCCCAAAAAATGCTGGATGCTCCATGTCCATCTTTGATTAGAGGCTAAATAGATGACATCTTCAGCGACATGTTGACCATTAGGCCATTTCGGCCATTTCGCGTCGTGCGACCGTAGGTCGAGGCATCAAGTTGCTGCCAAACCATTTGACCAACAAGGTGTGACTGCTGGGAATGCTTTGGGAAATGCCTCGAATGAGGTTTTTGAGACCCACGACCCATCGCTGCTTATAGTAATTCTCAAACAAATCATATAGACAACGTTATGGAAAACAATGAACAACTGTCATTTTCAGCAGGATTTTGAACTATTGAGCCCTATGGATCCAAACACCTCCTGAGAAGGTACTCAACCCCCTAAATCATACCCCAAACACTTCCTAAGAAGGTACTTGGATCCATAGGGTAGGATCAGTTTTGATCAAATTCTGCATCTTTTGGCAAACAAATCCTCGCCCAGGTCATAGCTCGTTTGGAGTCCAAACAGGGCATCATTCAGCGCTACGTGGCGGGCAAGCCCAGCTGTCCTGTCGGTTGTTGTTTAATGCACCTATGATATCCTATCAGATCCCATCATTTATCCTTGTGATACGAATTCAATGTACATTGCATTGCATGGCATGGCATTTCATTACATTCCATTACATCCAGCAGCGGCATTGGAAAACCCAGGAGCGTCCCCTGCTGCTGGACGGATACAAGTTCGACCTGCGGCTCTATGTGGTGGTGACATCGCAGCTTGGATGTTTTTTCGGCTGAGGGATTGGCCGATTGGCTGAGAAATGCGATGTTTGCAGCTAGAAAACATGGCAAAACATATTTATCACAACTAATTCACATCAAATAGTGGTTAATTAGTGAACACACCATATTTACTAATTCACCATATTTACCACAACTAATTTGTAGATGTGGTTTACAATATCTAACCAACTCTCCAGGATTGGACCTCGTTATCCATGGTTATCCCATGTTATCCCATCGACGGTCAAGAATCAGATTTCCTTTGCCACACTTAAGTGTTTAAGTGCCTTTGGGGAACAGGGGATACCCAGCTTATGGATGCTTCCTTGGTGATTTCCAAGGCACAATACTAAATGTATATATGATTATTAATCCGTGGGATGTTTGGCCCTATCACATGAATCATGCTCATGGTTACCAACTAGTTGGACCACGGCCTTTAGACGGCCGTGGTGTTTTGTTGGGGTGGGGTGGGGCATGTATAAACGTTCATGTGAACTTGCACATGAAGTAGATCTACCGTTGCGTTCATACCTCCATGATGATCAAGAAGATGAAAGAAATGATGATGATGATGATGATGAAGATGATGATGAAGATGAAGATGAAGTAGATGATGACGGCTGAAAAAATGTGAACACCAATTAGTTGGGGGCTTTGAAGAAAACCCCAAAATGGAGGTTTCGTGTAGGCGAAGTGACTGTTTTCATTCTTCTGCTTGGAACTAAGGCATTGACGGCCTTTACACTAAAATCACACGAATTCCTATTGGCACGAGCACATCAAACATGCTCAACAACATCCCATGAATCATAAAAACGCACGTCCATCTAAAGCCTAGTTTCTTAGACTTTGAGGTTTCTTGGGGATGTATAGAAGTTAATTTCTGCTCATTTGTTCTAATTTTTTGATGATTATATAATATATAATATAATATATATATATAATTATATATATATATAGTTGTATATGTACCCCTACAAGTAACACTTTTAGCAGGAGAGCCGGGAAGCAACGAGAGTTGTATCTGCACATCCGGAACAAAAAAAAAGTCTCGGATCCCAGGTTTGACCCCTTGAAGGTCTACCTCTTCAAGGCAGGGAATGGACCTGATCCTAGCATTATGACCACCACATTTAACCAATCAAAATATGGAGATAGCTGGTGAGTCACAAGAAAAAAAGGGGCTCCGAATCATTCTTGACCCATCAAAAATCATAAAAAAACACTCAGAGATTTTGCCAAGAAACTGACATAGCTATGGAAAATCACCATTTTCAATGGGTAAATCAACTATTTCTATGGCCATTTTTAATAGCTATGTTAAATTACCAGATGGTATATCCCATTAATATCCCATTGAATCACCATAAAAATCCCATAAAATCCCATAAAATCCCATTAAAATCATCATTAAATCACCATTTTCAATGGGTAAATCATGGTAAATCCACTATAAATGGCCATTTTCCATGGCTATTTTGACATAACCAGAGGGTATCATCTTGGGATGTTGAGCTTGGCCAGGAAGGCTTGGTGCGTTTGGCCACGGAGCGCTACTCCTTGAGCCCCAACTCGTGCCTTGGGCAAATGCCAAGGATCGTCTCTATGTTCGGATCGTTTATATATGGCCTGGTAAACTAACATATTTATGGTGATTTTATGGTGATTTAATGATGATTTAATGGGATTTTATGGGATTTTTATGGTGATTCAATGGGATTTTATAGTGATTTAATGGGATATTAATGGAATATACCCTCTGCTTATAACTAACATAGCCATGGTAGAGCGATGGCCCATAGAAATAGATGGTTTACCGTGCTTAAAAATGGGTGGATTTTCCATGGCGAAGTGTTAAATAACAAGATAATATCTATGGTGAATGTATGTTTATCTATGTTGGATCTCAGATAGTTTATGTATGTGATTCATTGTTTATGGATGTTTATGGTACTTCTTGCCATGTATGATACATGGGAAAAGAAACTCACCAGCTGAAAGTCCAAAGAACTGATTTAGAGGGTCCATTGGTACTCGAACTTTGTGCAGAGCCCACATCTTTACGTGCAAGTTTGTAACATATGTTAAACTATACACGGAAGTTACACAATCATATATTAATATATACTAATATACTGTGTATATAATATATACATTGTATATATATATATGATTATATATGTGTATAGCGTACACTGTACACAGTAATCCATATCTCCTATTCTTGACCCAAGTTCGCATCAATGGAGAAAGACCTTGGACCAACGGAGGCTGAAGAAGCGAACGATGCACCTCACCAACTATTCCGTCTCTCGGCGTGGGATGTCGCACGTATATGTTGTTGGATCATTTACCCTCTGGTAATTTAACGTAGCTATTGAAAATGACCATTAATAGTGGATTTTCCCATGAAAAATGGTGATTTTCAATAGCTATGTTAAATTACCAGAGGGTATGATGTTTGAAACTTCAGTTTTATTGTGCTGAATCTGGGAAGCACCTTTGGAAGTGTTTTTTTTTTTTTCTGGTGCGACATGAAGTGATTGGAGTTAGGCCTTATGATACTTACGTTTTCACCGTGAAGGAAGTTTGAAGGTTCTCACCCCGTCGTCACTGGAGTTGATCAGCCCTATCTTTAGAAGGGGCAACTTAGAAGCACCCTGGTTGGATATGTTGATCACGGTAGGAACTGATAACAGTAGTTATGCATATGATATATAATTATTTATCTAGGTATATGTGAAGGTATATATATATACTAATTAGTTGGTTCATATTTTAACACAGTCATATGCCTTAACTTCAGCATCGCCCTTTACGACCAAATACTTCCAGTAGTTCCAACTGCACAGGACGACGGCACACCAACTCTACATTATCTATGAACATCTAAAAGAGTGGGAAGGATGCAACATTGACACATGACGAATTTCAAACTTCAATTGATCAACTGGCGATTCCAGTATTGTGTTTTTGTTCCAATCATATTTATTCGAGAGCTGAAACATATCAACCAAATCTCATGTATATCAAAACTGTGACAAAAAAATCCTTTGGCAAGAGATTGACTCCATTTCAAGAAATCCACTATTGCTTCAAATTTGAGAATATCCTGAGTTTTTTTTCAGCCCGTTCATCCTTTTGCGTCCTTTTGTCAAAAACCAGCACATTCCCCCACCAAAACACAATATCTTATACCCTCATATCTCTATGTATATATATATATCATTATATATCAATATCATGCATGCCTGTATACCCATGATAATCTCATGAAACCATTGCCAAAACTATCCCATCATACCTCAAAAAACAAATCTTATACGCACATATCCCATTAGACCATGTAACAACATATAGTTATCCCATTATACCATCTTATACGCACATATCCCATTACACTATACAACACCACAGTATAATTATCCCTTTATACCATCAAGATTGCCCATTAGGGATATGTCAACATATGCTATAATCACAATTAAACCCATTATGACATCAATGTACCGTCAAGATGTCCCAATATCAACATATAGTTTTCCCATTAAATTGTATATCAATATATACTTATCCCATTAAGTTATATATCAACATATGAGTAACCAACAAAATTAGCGGAAAACTAAAGTAGAGTGGACTTGGGATCTTCAAATTTGTGTCAAAAACCTTCACAACCGATCGGGTTTTTACCAACTTTTGCCATGTCCATTGCGAGTAGTAAGTAATTTTGTCTATGGTTGGTACCCTCTGGTAAACTAACACAACTATGGAAAATCACCATCTCTAATGGGAAAACTCACTATTTCTATGGCCATTTTCAATAGCAAACTGTTAGTTTACCAGAGGGTATTTCTACTGTCCAAGGTGAACAAGCGTTCCGCCAAGTACGTGCAGAACCGCGACGGCAAGGCTTCGGTTTTCAAACGGCGTTGCGCGGTTGTTCTGGGAGTAGCGTGGCGCCTTGTGGGGTGATTCTTCTAGGAAAATGGTGGGTTTGTGGGAAACCAATCATGAGTCAGAGGATGACAATGTTTTTTTTTCTTTATGCGGATATAGCCATATCGACAGGATTACGATTTGGGTGTGTCTGAAAATCGGGTATCACCAAAATCGCTTGTTTAATAAGGATGACAAAATGAACCCCCCTATTTTCATCTATTTTGAAACAAAACCAAACAGAGGAGAAGCATGGAATATATGGATTTTCTTTATAGTCATCCCTATGGATCTAGTCGTACTTTCTTTCGGCAGTGGGGGATCAAATCATTTCAGAAAGGATTTGGATCCTTGCGGCATATTTGTTGGTGGCTCGAGCGTTGTTGGTTCTTCTCGCAGGGTATCTGAAATCTTACATTATATCGTATGTAGAACCACTACCTTGAGTTGTTTTTCAAGGAAGATTGAAGTTAGTGATGGGAAGGATGCAGGGACATTTGAGAAGTGATTGAGATCAACAGCTTTTTTGGTGACTTTTTGGGCAGTTATATTGACAACCGATTCGTTCGCAAAAACAGCACAGGTTCATCATCGCAATCGGAGTGTAACTAAAGATCGTCACTGGCATTCATCTGAGAGGGTGGGTGGAAATCTATGCCAAACTCACATTGTGCTCGTTTCAACTTGTTTCTGTGTGGCAATCCTTTTGTTGACAAGGGCGGTATGACTGTATAACCATCATTTTGCGCCTAGACTATTGGAAACCATCAGCACTAGATTCAGAGATAAACTTGCAACGGAAAGCCGTGAAGATCCATCAGGTGAGGATGATTGTAACCATGATGATTTTTTTTACTATTGGCATTGTCACTACATGTCACTACTATATCGATTATAGATTATAAATTAAGACTATGGCTACTTATTGTTGTGTTTTTTCTCTTCAACATTGGATCCATTGTCATCCCATCCGCTTCTTACACCAGGCGCCACCAGTCCCAAAGGTTGCAGCGCCAGAAGAGGACTGCATTGATGCCACAAACCTACCATTTAGGGATGATTTATAGCATCCATTTATGGTACCCTAGGGTAAACTAACGTAGATGTGGAAAACCATGGAAAACCTATGGTTTCCCCCAGGAAAATCAACTAGAATTGGTTGATTGTCCACATCTACGTTAGTTTACCCTAGGGTAAATATTGGGGATGGAAAAATATTATTCGCTGTACCACGTTAAACTAAAAGATCAGGCAATCAGCTGTAGCTTCTTTGCGCTATCGCTGGGATGTGAGTCCGCAGTGGATGATCAACACAACTCGAGTCGTGCTGTGTTTTATCAGGAAAAATGCAGGCTCTGGTGCTCTGAAAGATGCCAATGTGGTAAACCCAAGAATAAAAATCCCCAAAACACTTTTTTTTTTAAATGAATGGTATAAACTCAACATAAACTCAACCATCCCCAGACATGGTCAATTTACTAGCCATTCCTCCAATCCAAAAATCTGCGGGGAGGACTTGGCGACCATGGAGCTGGAGGACTCGAGACGAAATGGCCATTTTCAGAGCGAAAAACATGGGAAAAGATGGGAAGATGATGAAGACCAGAGTGGATTGAGGGTATACCATGGTATACCCAATTTTCAGACAAACTCAGATGTGCAAGAATCCTTCGGCCGCATGTCTTTTGTTTTGTTTTGTTTCGACCTCAGATGTAGCAACAAAACGAAGCGGAGACGCGCGCAAAATGACGTTTGTTTTTTCCAGCAGGTCAAATTGAAGACCAAAAAGTATAGCTGTAGTCACTGTCCAGAATTGTTCAGCCCAAAATGGCATCGCTTATGCTGCAACAATAGCAGTGCTTGTGCTTTCCCATACCACGAGGCCGTGGCAAGTCACGTCAAGGTTTTTGTCCCCCAGGAGGATGCGGACGATTGCCCAACTGAAGCAGGGTTGAAACTTGGCTGAGCTCCACAGATCCCCTTTGAACTGGTCACTCTTACGCCAACCCGAGAATTTGCCATCCGATTTTTGATGGTTTTGGATGATACCCTCTGGTAAACTAACATAACTATGGAAAATCACCATTTTTCATAGGGAAATCCACTATAAATGGTGATTTTCCATAGTTATGTTAAATTACCAGAGGGTAGGCACTTCCTGTGCTGAGGACTGACATGAACGAGAGTGAAGATGAAGAGGAGGGAGAAGAGGTGGGGCATCGGCATCGGTGGCGCATGTGCTATGTGGGATGTGGGTCCAGAAATTGGGCGGTATACACCAAGATTGACATGTTTGAATGGGGAAATGATGATCAGCCATTTAGTTTGGGGGTACCGTATTCTATTTGAGACCAACAAAAAGTGGGGCAGTGGCCCGCAGATCCAACCAGAGTGGGTACTATAGCCGACAACAAATCGGTCATCGGAGCCAATCTGCAAAAGGAGGGCTATATATTTTTGTTAAAAAAAGTTGTTTGTTTTTCTTGCCTGCCTTTGTGGCTTTTGTGGCTTCTGTGGCTTTTGTTGGTGTGTGGCTCTTGTGGCTTTACCATGCTTTACCTATCTATCTATCTATCTATCTATTTATTTATTCCCCACCTGCCAGGTGAGGGTTGTTAGATTTTATGTCAGTTGCCTCCTCGTCCTCCTCCTCGTCCTCCTTCTCCTCCTCCTCCTTCTCCTCCTTCTCCTCCTCCTCCTCCGCCTCGTCCTGCCTCGTCCTCCTCTCCTCCTCCTCCTCGTCCTCCTCGTCGTCCTCGTCGTCCTTGCTCAACTGCGACTCGCGATCCACAGTGTTCTCTGCCGGACCTCAACCACGACCATCCACGCCCAGTGTTCCCTGCCGGACCTCAACCACGACCATCCGCGCCCAGTGTTCCCTGCCGGACCTCAACCGCGACCATCCGCGCCCAGTGTTCCCTGCCGGACCTCAACCGCGACCATCCGCGCCCAGTGTTCCCTGCCGGACCTCAACCGCGAGTATCCACGCCAAGTGTTCCCTGCCGGACCTTATATAGGAAGATAAAATGTCAGATAGAGTGCCAGAAGATTTGCCAGGTAGAATGCCAGAAAATATGCCAGAAGATATGCCAGATAGATATGCCAGAAGATATGCCAGAAGATATGCCAGATAGAATGCCAGATAGAATGCCAGATAGAATGCCAGAAGATATGTCAGAATATATGCCAGAAAGATATGCCAGATAGAATGCCAGATAGAATGCCAGAAGATATGTCAGATAGAATGCCAGAAGATATGCCAGATAGAATGCCAGAAGATTTGCCAGATAGAATGCCAGAAGAAATGCCAGAAGATATGCCAGATAGAATGCCAAATAGAATGTCAGAAGATATGTCAGATAGAATGCCAGAAGATATGTCAGAATATATGCCAGAAGATATGCCAGATTGAATGCCAGAAGATATGTCAGATAGAGTGCCAGAAGATATGCCAGATAGAATGCCAGAAGATTTGCCAGATAGAATGCCAGAAAATATGCCAGAAGATATGCCAGATAGATATGCCAGAAGATATTCCAGAAGATATGCCAGATAGAATGCCAGATAGAATGCCAGAAGATATGTCAGAATATATGCCAGAAGATATGTCAGATAGAATGCCAGATAGAATGCCAGAAGATATGTCAGATAGAATGCCAGAAGATATGCCAGATAGAATGCCAGAAGATTTGCCAGATAGAATGCCAGAAGATATGCCAGGAGATATGCCAGATATAATGCCAAATAGAATGTCAGAAGATATGTCAGATAGAATGCCAGAAGATATGCCAGATAGAATGACAAATAGAATGTCAGAAGATATGTCAGATAGAATGCCAGAAGATGTGCCAGTAAGAACATGTATAAATGTCATGGTGGGGATCACACGAAGTAAAGTAATTTATCTAATTCAACCTAACCTAATCTAACCTAATCTAATCTTATGTAATCTTATCAAATCTGATGTAATCTTTTCTAACCTAATCTAATCTTATGTAATCTTATCCTAACCTAATCTAATCTGATGTAATCTTATCTAATCTTATGTAATCTTATCCTAACCTAATCTAATCTGATGTAATCTTATCTAATCTTATCTAATCTATCTAATCTATCTAATCTGTCTAATCTATCTAATCTATCTAATCTATCTAATCTATCTATAATCCATCCATCCATCCGTCCGTCCGTCCCTCTGTCTGTCTGTCTGTCTATCTTGATATCCACACCTTGTATCCCTACATGTACCTCAATCCAACCCTCAACAGACTTTAAATAGACCCTAAACCAACCCTAAATAGCCCTAAATAGCCCAAAGTAACCCCAAATAAACCCTAAACCAACCCTAAATAAACCTTAATTATAAATAAACCTTGAACCAACCCTAAAGAAACCCTAAACCAACCCGACATAACCAACCCTAAATAAACCCTAAACCAACCCTAAACTAAATAGTAACCCTAAACCAACCCTAAATAACCCTGAATAAACCCTAAACCAACACTAAATAAACCTTAAATCAACCCTAAACCAACCCTAAATAAACCCTAAACCAACCCTAAATAAACCCTAAACCATCCCTAAATAACTCTGGATAAACCAAATAAACCTTAAACCAACCCTAAACCAACCCTAAATAAACCCTAAACCAACCCTAATCTAATGCCAGCACTTTGCCTAGATCCTCCTTGTATTTTTTCCGCCTAAGGCGTCAGCTTCTGGCACTTCGGCAAGTCGGGCACGCAGCAGGGACGGCAAAGTACGGCTCAAAAAATGGGGTACCACTGGACCCGTATAAAGTAGTCAGGTGGATTGTTAAACTCTCCTTTGTTCCGAGGTGAAATTGGGGATACTCCAAACAGGTATTGTTTACAGATGTTTTACGGTGGAAATGATCGTCAAACCCTGGTAATCAAACCTGGCTCTTGGCGCTGAAAAATCCACGGACCATAGAAATATCCACCCATCAAAGATGTTTGGATGTTCCATCCTAGCGACCCGAAACAAATTCAAACATGGCTATTGGTCAAAACCCTGGAAATAGCTGGTAAATGGATGTTCATCCCATTAGAATTGATAATAATATGTTTTACCCACCCCCACATATTTGGGTTGAGAAGTCTGACGTTTGGATATTCTCTTGGGACGATCTGGGTGATGTTTGGTTGTGTCAACTCCCAAAGGGAACGGATAGGAAAACCAGTTTCGACCCCTGTGGATTTCCTCCATTGCACCGTTCTTTCCGAACTCCCGGATGTTTCTCAGCCAAGCAGTGAATATTTTGTTGGTTAAAATTCATAAATTCCCTGTGTTTCGGGCTAAGAATCTATGAATGATTTCTCCAAGTTTCAAATGTTCCAAGGACCAACACCTCGAATTTCTGCAGTGACCAAACCCCTTGTCGCTTGATGATTTTGAATGGTTATACAAGCAGATTGCATGAGGATTATACACAAGATCTCACAGACATTGGAACCCATCATGGGGGTGGCAAATTGCCAGCCAGTGGAACAGTGGAACTAGTCAACAAGCACTAATTATCTCTTGGCATTTTTTCAGCGTACTATCTCTATTTGTCCCTCTACTCCCTCTACTGCTTTTGGTCTGCAGATCTCCATTTTTTGTTGACATTTTCATTGAGTTCGTCAAGTCCCCATTTTGCGTTGCTGAAACGTTGCATTTTCCAAACATTTTTCTCTTCACCCAGGTGATCCACAGGGTCAAGCCACATCCAAATGGACCTTGAAGGAGTGGCGAATGCAGGGGTTGTTGAACGTTGGGTCGGGGTCAAGGACCCAATTTGTAAGTTCTTAAGAACCTAAAGGTTGCTGACTGAAATATTTCTGCCAGAAATCCTACTTCAGCTACTCATAAAGTCTTACAAGCCAACTTAGCTAACGAACTGGGGCACCACTTAATATGGTTTTCTCAACCACGGATCCAAGCTGGAATGCCATGAACGTAAATATTTTCTAAGCAGCTGGAGGTCGCCTTTTTGTTGGCTACAAGTAGCTACGATTAGTGATGTGTGAAAGCAATGGACACCACCAAATGTCCTACAAAAACACGTGTTTAGATTGGATCGTAGAGAGAAGCAATCTAAAGCTGGCATATATATATATATTTATGTATATATATATATGTATATATATATATATGAATCTGATGTTGAGCTTGGCTGCCTTCATTATTTTCGACCAGCATTAATTCTTCAGCCCTTTCGGGGAAACATGAGTTGGTTTCGGCTGAAGTTGGAGTTGTTTCGGTTGAGTTACCATTGTGAAGTCAAGCATAAAGTGCTTTGCGCAACACTCACCATCATGATCACACTGGGTGGATTTCAAGCTCCTCATATGGGCAAAACATTGTCATCTCATAGTCTCCAAAAAAGGATCTTTAAGGACTATAAGGATCAAGATTGACTTGGAATGACTTGGATATGTCTCAACAATATGGTTCCCCAAAGTATTCCCTCCAAACTGGGCCATCCTGTCACAACATCTTCGGTATTTCGCGCCATGGCGTATTCTGCCGCAAGCCTGAGAGACCTGGTTGAGGCCTGGTTAAGCCAGGGCTACCTGGAAGTGACACATACCCAAAGAAATCCATAGTTTCACCCCCAGAAATGTGTTTGTTGACCAAATCTGGGACTTCAGCACCCAATTTTACGTGATTTTTCACCAGCAGGAATGCGGGATGCTGATTCACCAGCAAAAATGGTGATTGAATCAACGACGACTGGGACTGCGGCTTTTTTTTCAGGTGGCCCGAAGAGTCACTTCTTGGAAGTTGGATAGACATTGGCAATGGTCAAAAATATAACAACTCGAAATGCTCTACTTGAGAAAACTAAGTAGATCAACAATGATCAACATATCATGAAGACATCATTCATAGAACTAATCCCATTCCCCCAATATCTAACACCTCCTCTCATGGTTTAGGATCTCTTCATTTCGGGGTCCCATTTTGAACGTTTTGGCTTTATATTGAGGCGATGGGATTAGATAAAAACCATCCCATTATCATCCATTATCTATATGATGTTCCGACATCAAGAGATTACGAAATTGGTATAAGATCCTCAACCCCATCAAAGAGGCTTGAGGAAAACCAGGCACTCCTGCGGCTGCGGCGAGTTCCACTCAGGTGGAGGTGGTGAACGTGTCAGGTGATGCTCTGACCTTGAAGCTTTGACCTTGAGCCAGGGAGTTCAGCAAGAATGGGAAGCTACACTGGGAAAGCCTTAGTACATTAGTCCATGGCCTTTTTTCTCAAACTCGAGAACCAGTTGGTGAGTGGTTAATATCCGTTTTTTATCCTACTATAAAATGTAATCCATGATAGTCCATTAAGAAAGGTGTTTACATGTTTTCACCCACCTAATCCCACTTGCTGGAATGCGCCCCCAAGCTGGAATAGAGATCTAGATAAGCCTTTTGAAGGTGCCTGGGACCCGGTTCTTTTCACATGGCCATACACCACTTTTCACATGTGACTTACCATCGGAAATGGTGATTTGACTGGGGAAATGCGATATTTGGGATGGGATATACACCCTGGTAAACTAACATAGCTATGGAAACATATGGAAACCATGGCCAATGGTGATATTCAATCGCAAACTGATAAATTTCATGAAATTACCAGAGGGTAAAGCCATTCATAAGCCGGCATCATAGACATGGGTGGAATGCACCACCCCTGGAGGTTGGGTTGGCATGAAGACTCCTTCCATGCTTCAAATTACCAGGTCCTTGCAGAAGCAGCCCTCTAAATAGCATCTTTCCGGGGGATAGTGTGGTTCACGGGGTTGCTTTTCTCCTTTCAGATACGTAAACAGGCGCTTTACTGAGAATACACCCTGTATACACTAATAGCTTAAATTACTTTACTTCGTGTGATCCCCACCATGACATTTATACATTTTCTTACTGGCAAATCTTCTGGCATTCTATCTGACATATCTTCTGACATTCTATTTGACATTCTATCTGGCATATCTTCTGGCATATGATCTGGCATATCTTCTGGCATATCTTCTGGCATTCTATCTGGCAAATCTTCTGGCATTCTATCTGGCATATCTTCTGGCACTCTATCTGACATATTTTCTGGCATTCTATCTGGCATATATTCTGACATATCTTCTGGCATTCTATCTGACATATCTTCTGGCATATATTCTGACATATCTTCTGGCATATCTTCTGGCATATCTTCTGACATATCTATCTGGCATATCTTCTGGCATATTTTCTGGCATTCTATCTGGCAAATCTTCTGGCATTCTTCTGGCATTCTATCTGGCATATCTTCTGGCATTCAATCTGGCATTCTATCTGGCATATCTTCTGGCATATCTTCTGACATTCTTTCTGACATTCTTTCTAACTTTCTTCTGCACATTCTTTGTCCCATATCTTCCTACATGAGGTCCGGCAGGGAACACTTGGCGTGGATACTCGCGGTTGAGGTCCGGCAGGGAACACTGGGCGTGGATGGTCGTGGTTGAGGTCCGGCAGGGAACACTGGGCGTGGATGGTCGTGGTTGAGGTCCGGCAGGGAACACTGGGCGTGGATGGTCGTGGTTGAGGTCCGGCAGAGAACACTGTGGATCGCGGGTCGCAGTTGAGCAAGGACGACGAGGACGACGAGGACGACGAGGACGACGAGGAGGACGAGGAGGAGGAGGAGGAGAGGAGGAGGAGAGGAGGAGGAGGAGGAGAGGAGGAGGAGAGGAGGACGAGGCAGGAGGAGGCGGAGGAGGAGGAGGAGAAGGAGGAGGAGGCAACTGACATAAAATCTAACAACCCTCACCTGGCAGGTGGGGAAAAAATAGTCGCTCTGTTGTGTGAGGGTCCCTCAAATTCTAGAAAGGATTTGATGTACCCCCAAGATATATTTGGGATTGGAGCCGGGCCCCTCAAATTCTTATACAGTACTTTCTTATACAGTACTCAAAATCTCTATCATAATCCCAGCTGTACCACAACAGAATTCCATCAATCCTTTGATAGAACCCACTTTTTCAGCAGCCGACCTCAGTTGAGCAATGTTGATCCATGAAAAATACCTCTGTGAATTGGTGAATATAGGGTGTTATAGTACATAACTGGTTTGGGATCATGATAACCCATAATAGGACAATGTACTGACCAAGCAGTAGAATGGGTTGTTTTCTACAATGTGGTGCCCCTCAGTTATAAGTTGGTTTATAAGCCCCAGTAACTATAGTTATAAGTACCACAAACCATAGTTATTGGAGTTATAAACCAACTTAGCTAACTATGGGGCACCACCTTGTAGGGGCCTTGTTTCTGAAGGACGGTGCCCAGCGGCACCACCGGCCGTGCGTTACACCAGCTGCTGGCCTCCCGCCTTGCGTCGACGCCGAAGAACGCGCGGCTGGCGCTGCTGCGCGGGGAAGGATGTCTGGAGATGAGCAAGAGCTTGGAGGAGATGGGTGACTTGGTTTCACAGGGGGGGTACCCTCTGGTAAACCAACATAACTATGGAAAATCACCACCATTTTATAGCTGGGAACATTTACTATTTCGACTGGACCATTTTCTATGTGATCATTTGATGGGATCATTTCATGGGAATTCATGGGATTTTCATGATGATGACCCTCTGGTAATGACTAACATAGCTATGGAAAGATCCACCATTTTTAATGGGAAAATCCAGTATTAATGACCATTTTCAATAGCTATGTTAAATTACCAGAGGGTAGCTGATGAACCTCATTCAAAGAACCTTTTTTGTTGGGAATTTTCAAGTGCCATGTGAAAAATTACCGGAGGGTGATTAATCGACTAATCCCTTCCCCCTAATATAACACATCCCCAAGAAACCCTGGATTAATAGGGCATGACACCACATTTTTGGGAGCGTTTGGTGGGTGTTTAATATTCGGGGGATGAGATTGCGATGGTTTAAGATGGTGAAGTTTAAGGCCCCTTGCAGATTGAAGCATGATTTCAACAACAAACAGGGTTTAAGATGGCTAATCAACCTTGGGGTTTACAAATTTAGGTTTAAGATGGTTTAAGATGGTTCAGGTGGTTAACCCTCTTAACCATCTTGAGGAATTTAAAACGATTGAGCCTTTCAACAAACAGTAGGGTTTTGGCGGGGTTAACCAAGCAGGGAGCTGGCAAACTACCAGCAGGGTAGGGTGGTTTATGTGGCTATTGACATCCATTGACCATATTAGGGGTTTGACAGAAGATGACATTCGCAATTGTTCAAGTTTCAGCTTTGTGGTATTGGGGGGTTAGGCATATTCGACAACCATGTCAACAACCGGGTTTAGCCAACAGGGTAATTGGGGCTACTGCAGATGGTTTGACAATCCAACGATCGGGATTTGTACAAGCATATGTTTATCCAGCCATCCCAGCCATCCCCTCTTGTATCCTCTGGTCATTTCAGCAGGTTGCTATGGAAGATGATCCAATTATAGATGATTTACCATCTGGTTATTTAACATAGCCATGGACAATCACCATTTTTAATAGGTAAACCGGTAAACCATCTATAAATGGGCCATTTTCCATGGCTATGTTAAATAACCAAAGGGTATATTGATTTGTGATGATTTCTTACCTACAAAAAATGGTACCGCGTCCATAGCTACGTTCAATCACCAGAGGGCAACAATTTCCAGAAAACACCGAGATGTTTTTGTCGGTTGATGAGGAATTCATAGTCCATGATGAAGCTAGTCTCTGTAGAGGTGATCATGGACCATGATGTCCATGAACTGGAAATCTACACCACATCCAACCATCAAACAACCATCTGGGTAAATTATAACGACCTCACTGTTCTCCCTCACTGGAAATCATGGTTAGTAAGAGGAATCATCCCCTTTTATGGCCTTAATTCAGGTTAGTGAAATATTATAATTTACCCAGAACCATCAAACAACCATTGGTTCAAGGACTTTCCAATGGCTTTTTGACACTGCTCAAGTTGTCATTTAGGTGCAACAAGTTGGGCGGTCAAGACTCCAAACGTGACACCAGAACCCGGCAGTTCAAATCATTCATCTCAGAGGAGAGGATATGGTGACTGATCCATCAAAACATATTCCAAAATTGGATTTCTTCCAATCACCAAGCATGCTGGTATCGTTGGGATATGATCAGATTTTCCGTCTGGGATGCTCTCATGGAACATTCCGAATATCCAGGATGAGTGCCTTTTCTTCTTTGCCTCAGTATCAAGTCGGTGGAGCCAAGGTATACAAGGCCGAGTCACCTTGTCATCGGTCTACTTTCCCGTGAACGTCTATGCAGCCTGGAGCTATCTGAAGGGCAAGCAGTTTGATGAAGAATTCTGCCTGGAGGGAGTTGTTGAGCTTGGAGGAATCTCCTCACTGAAACAACTCGAGGATTTGCCCAAGAGTCTGCAGACTTTGAGTTTCAGCCAGAGTTTCCTGGATGTGCTGAGGATGGTTCTTTTATTTTCCCATTTCGCAATCCACCACTTGGGGAAGCTAGTGGCTTTGTTTTTTATTGGCTCCGGGATGGGCAAATCCATGCAAACCCAAGGTTTCAACCAGACTTTGGATCAAATTCGGCTCGCGCGTAGCCTGCAGAGCTTGACGTTTGGCGATGAGTTCAACCAGAGCCTGGATGAAGTGATTCTTCCCATCAACCTCAAGAGCTTGACTTTTGGGAACAGCTTCGACCAGAGTTTGAGGCATTGCAAGTTACCAATCGGTCTTCAAAGTCTAACTTTTGGCCAGAAGTTCAATCAGGAATTGGAGCAAGTCACATTGTCACCTGAATTTGCTGAAGTTTTTTTTTGCTGTGGGTTGTCTGAAGATAGGGTCTCTCAACATTTGATACTGTAGGTAATCAGTTGTTATGAGGTTTACATGTGTTTCCATAAATGGGGGATTTCCCAAAATGGCTGGTTTATAGTGGAACATCCTAAGATGGATGGGGGTACCCCCATTTTGGGAAACCCCCATATACTCATGACATATTCCGTGTTACAATGGCCAATCCCAATTTCCAAGGCCCAGTAGCCTTCAAGACTTGACATTTGGGGACGAGTTCAACCAGAGCTTTGATCACGTGACTTTGCACTGCGATCTGAAGCATTTGACTCTGGGAAGTGCGTTCAACCAGAGTTGCTGGTCGTTTTTTAAACAGCTTTTTGGATGTATTTAAATAGATTGTATAATGCGACTGAACCCTGCGACGTGACTGGAATAATGATTTTAGTATAGGGGTAACTATCCAAAAGGTGTGCGAATTAGTTTTTTCTTTATCCAGAAGTATGGGTCAAAAATATCCACCCCACAAAATGGATGATTGAACATGTGTTTGATATAGTTGAGAGATAAGAACTACGGCCTTTGTGGGTTGATTACCTTAATTTTGACCCCCAGAATCTGTTTCCATCCCCAAACATCTCATGATTCTCTCAGGATATCCCCATATCATGGTCTCCAGTATACTAGGTTTGCATCATGCAACTTTGCCGTTGATGCTCGCCAGCCTCACCTTTGGCCGAAGCTTCAATCAGAGCCTTGAAGGATTGCCAGTGGGGCTTGAGAGTCTCACCCTGGGTCGAGAGTTCATCAGCTTCAAGCAGCTGGCCTTGCCTAGCGGCCTCAGAAATCTGACACTCGGCAGCTTCAATGGGAGCTTGGAACAACTGAACTTACCCAGCTTGCGGAGCCTGCGGAGCTTGGTGCTGGGCAATGCCTTCAATGAAAATTTGGGTAAACATGCCTTGCCACCGAACTTGGAAAGCTTGACTTTTGGCTATCAGTTCAACCAAAGCTTGAAGCAAGTGAGTTTACCAACGACCCTGAAGAGTTTGACCTTTGGCCGCAACTTCAATCAACCCTTGCAGGCAGGGTCTGGTTTCATCCTGGTTAGGGAGGTCAATAGATTGACCTAACTATCAATACTTATCAATGGCAAAATATAATGTACCCAGCTTAAAAAATAAGTTAACACTGATGGAAGAAATGCAAGATATATATATAATTATATATATACATACATACATATAGAATTGGAAACTGATTGCTTTTCACAAGATATCTATACATAAGTTTTAGACTGTTCAGGGTCAAATGTTTTGGACTTTGTTTCGGAACCCAAGTTGAAACTTTCTCGCAGGCCCTCCCGAGTCTCGAACACCTGACCTTTGGGCAGAAGTTCAATCAGAGCCTGGACCAGATGTTGCCCAAAAGCCTCAAGAGCCTCAGCTTGGGCTTGGATTTTCAGCAAAACTTGCAAGATCTGAACTTTCCATTAGGCATCCAGAAGCTCACCCTTCAAAGCCCAGTCAGTGAGATTTTGGAGGGTGTGGAGCTGCCAAGTGGCCTTGAATCTTTGAACTTTGGTGATGGCTTCAACGATACACTGGATCAGGTTCAGTTCCCACGTGCGCTGAAGACCCTGACGTTTGGAGATGACTTCAACCAGAGCTTGGAGCAACCTGGTGGTGGCTTAAGTCTTTTCAAGCCCCAAAATGGGACGGTTTTACAATTTTACAACCATGAAACGACCAACGGCTATCAGAGTGGTTCTTATGTTGACCCAGCGCCCCCGAGTTTCTGCTGCAACAGTTCCAAATGGGAGCTGAGGCACGTGTCCTTGCCAGAATCCTTGAAGAGCTTGACTTTTGGCTATTACTTCAACCAGCCTTTGGACTCACTTCACTTGCCAGATGGTCTCTTGGATTTGCTGGGATGTCTATTTGCCCATTGAACCCAGTAGGGACGATTTTTTGTTGACGACCCGCAACTCCCAGGTCTGGAAAGTCTCATCTTTGGTGACGAGTTCAACCAGAGCTTGGAGCACGTGCAGTTGCCAGGCACCTTAAAGACCTTGACCTTTGGCCATGAATTCAACCAGAGCCTGGAAGTTGAGCTGCCCGAGGGCCTTGAAGAGTTGACAGTTGGCCACGAGTTTCAGGGAGACCTGCGGCCTTTGAGCCAACTCCAAGAGATTTCCTGTCAAGGAGTCCTGGTGAGCGCGAGAAAGATTGGAGATGGGAGCTCGGTCCGATCGACTCCATGGATTCGGATGGTGTTTTTTTTGAAACAGAAACTGGTTGATCTCTATGGATCTCCACATTAGGAGAATTTTTTGGAAAAGTGTGATTTTCGCACCTGGGACCTGCAGCATTTAAGGTTCCAAGTTTTGACCACGCCTATCATACCCTGCTTCTTGGATGTTTGATGGTGTTCTTCAGTTTCCATTGCTACAAATGGGAGTTTCCTGAAATGGGGGATCCCCAAGTCACCAGGGTCCAATGATTCCAGTGTTGAAAAATTCTAACATCGGTGATTTGGAACATGGCTTTATTTTCCATTTCATATATGGGATGTCATCCATTTTCATCCTCCCCATTGACGAAGTCCATCATTTTTCAAGATGGTGAAATGACACCACCAACCAGATTACTATTAACCATCATTAACATTCATTAACCATATAATAACCATTCATATTAACCATTATTAACAGTATATTAACCATTATTAAACATTAGACTTGGATGATTTGGGGCTCGATTTTTTAGCAAAGCCCCCAATGGGATGATTTTGATCTCGATCTTCTCGCCCTGGGCGAAACTCCGACTGGTCATAGACTGCATCTGGAGGTTTCCCAGGCGAATAAAAGGGGTTCCCCAGCCAATCGCTGGATGGTTTATCATGGAAAATCCCATTTACCCTCCGGTTATGACTAACATAGCCATGGTATAGATGGCCCATAAAAATAGATGATTTTCCCAGCTATAAAGCTCCATTTATGGTTGGGACTTTCCATGGCTATGTTAGTCATAACCAGATGGTAAATGGATTTGGGGGGTGCCACCATTTTGGGGAACCTCCATATCGAAATGTCAAAATAATGATTTCAGTTCTGCAGTTCTGGATCCTCAAATGCAAGAATTCTTTGAACAGTCTATACTTAGTGTACATGAGGATGATGAGGATGGGTCACAACCCTGACATAAATAGCAGCTGTTCAGAAGGGTGTTCATCCCCCCATCAACCGAGAGTCACAGAGATGCCTTGTTTTCCCGGTAGTAGTGAAAATCCCTATTGAGATTGGTGATCAACATGGCCTACACCCTGGCAATCTAGCCTGTCAGTTGGAAGATCCCCTGTCAAAATTTCAATCTATACATTCTGGGTAAATTATAACGACCTCACTGCGACCTCACTGGAATCATGGCTAGTAAGGGAAATCATCCCCAAATGGCCTTAATTCAGGTTGGTGAAATATTATAATTTACCCAGAATACATTGCATCAGATGGTTTTCAATACAACATGGCAAAGTCTCTTGACATGACAGGTTACTGGCGGGTATATTCCTGATATCCTCTACCGCTCGTGCTCATATCGCTTGGGGAAGCACCTTTCCTAACCTTGATGAACTTTGGGACCCAGCCGCTGTCGATGGATTTCCAGTCAGAACTTCTCTTGCTCCCGCAGTTGGGCAGTGAGGTTAGCTGGGAAGGTCCCGAAATTATGTAGAATCTACAACTGAGGAATTTTCGAGCCAGCCATGTTCGATTACCAGATCGCATCACGGTATCCAAATTTGAAACCTCTCTGATCAAAACTTTTGATATACATATATAAATTGTTAGAAGGTCAAGGAAAACCAGAGGGGCTGAGACTTTTCGAGGACATTACAAAGAAATAGGATGGGGAACTACAAACGTCGAGCCTGAGTTCACCAACACTTGTTGATCAATTAGGGGTTGCTCCATTGCCACCCCCAAAAAATGAACATTAGTGTGTAAACTGGACATGTCAAGTGGGTGATTCTTTTGACCCATTTCAAGGTGAACGGTGACCAAAAATCCGTGAGTTGTCATAAGGGGTTTGATCTGGTTTCGGAATTATGGACTGACCCGGCCCGTTGGAACTCCTATGAACCAACCAGTCTCAAGGTATGACAGGTGGGTTCCTTTCTTGTTTCTCAAGATTGATCCAATGGTTTCCACTCACCATTTTTGCTGCGGAAAATCACCGGTTAAGTCCCTCTCTCATCCCCCCCTAAGATCCCCTAAGCGGAGAAACCGAACAACCTATTCAAGCCACGGGGTCAAATACCCAGTATACACCTGGTGATTCACAGTTGGCTATGGATTCGTGCCATGGTCAAAACACGGTGAAGATTTTCCTCGTCTTTTTTGGGTCAGCAATCCAGCAATCCATATCGAATTCCCATGGGACATGGCAGGACCTGCAGGAGTATTTCGAAGCCAAGGCGCTGACCAACTGGGGGTTTCTTAAAATGGGAGTAATCCATTGGCTGGATGGTTGATTTCATGGAAAATCCGAAAATAAATGGATGATTTGGGGGTACCCCTATTTCAGGAAACCTCCAATTCACCGTAATTCAAAGCTTTTTGATCTTTCGGGGAGTTACTATACAGTAGAAACCCTGGTTCTCTACTCCAAATTTTGGGACAAGGCGACCTCCCAGCAATAACCAGTCTTCATGGACAGCTTCTGCCAAGCCGCACCACCTCGCATTCTGTTTCTGCTAGTTCTTGCAGCCTCACCACTTTCCACCGGTGAAGCCCATTCTTTGGTTTGAACACGATGCGAGCAATTTATACGAAGTGGCTAAGTGGAGGATGTGTGAGCAATAGTTTTGGTGTAGAGCTTCGCCCATTTAGGAAGTGCAGGGCAATTCTCGAAAGCGTACATGGCAACTCCTGCGGAGAAAAAACAACTGCCTCTACAATAGGGGAGACCCCAAGTTGCAATTTTGTGTGCCCTCAGATAATCAAACGTGTCTCGCTGGGAAATTCACGAGCTAAATGGAGGTTTATAGCTGGGGAAATCATGCATAAATGATGGATTTTCCAGCCGGCCACGTTTGATACGATCTTCAAACGCGTCGCCGAGTGAACGTTGCCCCATTGCTCTGACAGGGATTGGACTACCCGTTGGTCTTGTCCAAGATTAAGGAGCGCACAGCTATTGGTGTTTGGAGCATACGTTTTTTCAGGCCATTTCAGGAGGGCGTGCAAAGCCATGAAGCGACATGTCCATGGCGTTCATAGGTAATTCCTCTATAAATGGATAGTTATAGCATGTTATAGCCTATATAGATCTATATAGGCTATAGCTATGCTATGCTAGATCGCCAGAGGGTAGGGTTTCCTGTGCCCACACGTTCCAGCCTTTTTGTTCATGCCTTGCTATCGTAGGAACTCATAGTCAAGAGCCTGATTGCGGTAGAGACGCCGATTGCCTGAGCCTCAAAACGTCAATTAGCTGACACGTTGATGAGCGCATGGTTGAACGATATGACACAATATGTGATATATATATATATAATACGTATTGTGTTTTACATATACACATAATAAATGCACATTGTGATAATGTATGATACGTGTGTGTGTATATATACATTGTATATATTATTATTTGCAATTTACATATTTCATATATTTATATATACATATTTGTGGTAAACAAACAAAACAGCTCATGTTTTGCAACAAAACGTGGGTGCAATTCCGATGTGAGAGTGCAGCACCCCGCGGTTTTTTTCTCCAGTACTACCGTAGATGGACTATGGAATACAACCCTTGCTGTGTTGTCGTCGCCCCCGCATCCCCAAATTTCAATGTTGTCTTTGGGCTGCGCACTTGGGTGCAGTGGACAAAGAATATCAAACCTTGAACGCAGAGGAAACTATATATATATACTGTATATATAGTTCTGTTCAACATTGAAATTTGGGGTGTGGGTTTTTACTTGGTACATGTCTACAGGGTTTGATTTGTTTGTCCATCTACTATAACATACTATAATTAGTATTTTTTGCATGATTATCCCCCAATTGTTTTGAGCGGAGACAACCGTGTCTGATTTGATAAACACCCGCAAAATGTGATCAACAGTTAAAATGGGTGCCACAAGGTTGTGGGTCCGAAACTTTATACCAGTTCGATATAGTTTACTGACTTTGAATGTTTTAAGTTTGCCTATTTGGATCTATTTGGGGGTAAACAATTCAGATCGGATCAAAACATGGCAGTTTCCAGCACGGCTGAAGAAATTGACCGAAGGCTGAAGCCAAGGGAAACGATGAGCGAACATGACAAACACAGACACAATCATATCTTTATTATCTTTATTGTGGATTATCTTTGTAGTTGTTTATATATATATATATATTATATATATATATATATATATGTTATCTATACATGTTATATAAATATATGTTATATATATGTTATATATATGCTATATATATGTTATATATATATATGTTATATATATGTTATATATATGTTATATATATGTTATAGATATGTTATATATATGTTATATATATATATGTTATATATATATGTTATATATATATATGTTAAATATATATATATATATGTTATATATATATATATGTTATATATACATATATGTTATATATACATATATGTTAAATATATATATATGTTATATATATGTTATATATATATGTTATATATATATATGTTATATATATATATGTTATATATATATATGTTATATATATGTTTTATATATATGTTATATATATATGTTATATATATATGTTATATATATATTATATATATATATGTTTTATATATATGTTGTATATATGTTATATAATATATATATGTTATATAATATATATATATGTTATATATATATATGTTATATATATATGTTATATATATATATATGTTATATATATATATGTTATATATATATATGTTATATATATATGTTATATATATATATATGTTATATATATGTTATATATATGGTATATATATGTTATATATCTGTTATATATATGTTATATATATGTTATATATATTTTATATATATGTTATATATATATGTTATATATATGTTATATATATTTTATATATATGTTATATATATGTTATATATATATATGTTATATATATGTTATATATATATGTTATATATATATGTTATATATATATATGGTATATATATATATATGTTATATATATGTTATATATATATGTTATATATATGTTATATATATGTTATATATATATATGTTATATATATGTGTTTATATATATATATAACATATACTGCGTGTGGAAGTGGGACCCATATGTTAATTCTGCGCGTAGGAAGAAAGTAGCGGGGACTCATCATTTTCTGGACATGGAAACCCTAAAGTCAACCTGGCAGCCATATGTTACTTAAACAGTGTTGAGTAGAGAAGACAGCCCTCAAACAGGTGAGTTCTTAACACACCTCTCAACCGTATCATTGACATGATATGACATCATGTAATCCCATGATTACCTAAGGCCGGATTTGATCCAACAAAAATGACTGGGGTACTGGAGCCCTGCGGGACGAGAAATGAGGACCCAATAATGAAATGTGATATCTTAGAATATTTTAGCTGGTCAAACACTTGTTCTTGGCCCTTGAATCAATTGAATCATGTGGAATCCAATTTTCTCATGATGATTTCTTCACTTTTTCCATACTACCCTCCGGTAATCAAGAGTAGCATCCAGGAACATCCATCATGTATATATAGTGAAGATTTTTCCCAGTCATAAACCTCCATTTAGTTCGGGGATTCCCCAGCCAGCCACGTTTGATGACACCGTTGCTGAAATCCCATAAAAAATCCCCAGCTATATCCTAGTTATGTTCCGTAAAGAACCCCTTAAAAAAACCCTTAAAACCCCATATATATTCCATTAAACTCCATATATATATATCCCATTAATATCCTCATCAAATCTTCATTACTATCCCATTAAACCATATTAAACCATATATATATATATATCCCATATATATCTTAATATCCTCCATATATATCCCATTAAACCATATATATCCCATATATATCCCATTAATATCCGATTGGGAATACTATAGCCTTTTTTTTGACCGGGGAAATCCCCTACCAAGGTGAGTGCCTGGCACAACGGCGCCAACTACGCACGACGCAACGGAGCCAGCCTGGTGGGCAGCGCAGACGTTCGACGTCGACGTCGTTCTGGGATGGGGTCTGAAGCCGCTGGTGAAACCAACTAGATCTTAGAATGGTTGGTATTATCTAGTTGATATTATCTAGTGGGTTTTCCATGGCTATGTTAAATAACCAACTAAATCCATAAACAATACCCTTTGGTTATTTAACATAGCCATGGTATAGATGGCCCATAGAAATAGATGGTTTACCTATTAGAAATGGTGATTTTCCATGGCTATGTTAAATAACCATGAAATACCACGACTATCATAGATATGTATTATGATGATCTTATATGTTATTATATGCTATTATACTTTTATTATACTAGTAAAGTGATAGTATATTTGTAATACAAGAATCATAGACATAGATGTGGAAAACCCATGGGGGAAACCCCCAGGAACATCGTCTACTTTCATGGGTGATTTTCGACATATATGTAAAAGTTTACCCGATGGTATAATCATATATCAATATATCAAAATACAGTGATACAAACCAACGCGATTGCGAATGATCAATTCTTTAGATTGTTATTCTGTTGATGGTTTCACCAATAGTCATCAATAGTGCAGCAATAGTAAAGCAATGAGCGTGAAGGAACATATTGTTGTAAGTCTAATACTATACTATTTTTCATCACTTATTATCATAATATGTTATTGTACTCATACTTTGTGCAAAGCAATAGGAATACAAATATCATAATCTATATATAGAATTATGTAGATGTTTTTTTGATATCTTTGATCTATAATTAGATGGCTATTAGCAGCCACTGCTCATCTGCTCGTACGAAAAAAAGCTCACGGATTTCCCACAATGGATTGTGATAATACCCAATACATAAAGCTTAAGGATAGTATAACCCCATATAAGCATCAATCAAAATGGGTTTAGCAGACACCTCTCATATGATTCTAGAACTACAACATATGAACAAGCGTTTGTATTTATGTTATGACTATGTATAGCTACATGGGTATGTGGTAAAACCAGTGCCATCCCATGTCATCGATAAAAGTAGACCAGGGATTTCGGTACTATTTTCTCAACTTCCCGGATCCAAAGCCCGGCGATTGATATGATATGGATATCCATTATCATCTTACAATATGTCCAAATTTGATTCATTACACAATTCCTTTCACCCTGGAATGCCAAAGTATCAAAGTGTCCAATTCTTTTTGGAAACTTTTGGAACGTGGCAATTTTTCATGACGCTTGCAGGAATCAAATCTAAAAAACGCAACTTCTTCAAAAATGATACACTTGCTCAAAACATACCTTGCAGAAGTCGCAATACGCGCAGAAGTGGCAAAAAATATGTAAAGCGGCGTCAAAAAGCATAGGGAGAGAATGCATCAAATAGGACACTGTTGACTTTCTAAAAGGGGGCGTTGGAAATGTTTCACAGTGACGTAGTTGCCTAAAACATAGGATACTTGGCTTTCTGGGACCATATTGGTCTATTGGGTTTAAGAAATTAGGCATTGCACTTTATCTAACAAAGTCAGATTGGGCTGATCGAAACCTTCCAAGTTTCCAGTTTCTCATTACACATGCATTCTCAATGATATAATTCACCAAATTATTCCCCAATCACCTCACATATATTTATATTTGGATAACAACATGAATACGCCCAATTTCATCCCCAAGCATATCCCATCATATCCCCCTTGTCTTCCCAACGTTGGCGACTCTGGAGGTAGGACCCAACCAAACCTGCTTCGAACTCTACGGTTTCGATGTTTTGGTGGATCAAAAGCTTCGGCCCTGGCTGTGTCTCGACCGAGCCAAGGAGAAGTTCGGAAGAGTTGGAGTTTATGGGGTGTTTAATATTGGGACCACCTAAAATCCCATGAGTCATCCATTAAATCCCATATACTAATACAGAAACTGATGTGGATGTTACTTATTGTGGCGGCAAGGACGCCTTGAAAATGCCCCAAGGGCCAGGAAATCCCAGGAAATGTCAGAAAAAATTAGGAAATCATTTGCGTGGTGCAGCAGCTGCCGTGTCAGATGTTTTCAGTCATATTTCGTTTGATTAGTTTTTGAACAGTCGCGCGTCTATTTCTGGGCTTTCCATCCAGTGCCAACATTCTGGGCTTTCCATCTGCCATCATTCTATCTGACATATATTCTGAGATTCTGTTGGCCATTCTATCTAGCATGCTGTCTGGCATTCTCTCTGGTGTGAGTTCGGGTCCAGGTGCGCTACACAGTTCCGGTACCGACATCATGCGGAGCTAGCATGCACGAATGAAGAGAAGAAGGAAGCAGAGGAATAGAAAAAGGAATGGTAAGAGAAAAAGGACATGTTAAACACCGTTAGGATCGGCACCAACCGCAAGATCGACATGTATTATGCCTGCGTGATCAGTAAGCTGATGTATAGTCTGTGTACTCTTTGCTTAACTGAAAATCAAATACGGCTTCTGGATTCATTTCACATTCGATGTTTGCGTTCTATCGCCGGCATACCATCTACATGGGGAGCAACCCTCCTTGGCGTGGAACGGCTATCAAATGAGCGAGTCCGTTGTCAGATGAATGATTTAAATTTGTCGGATGAGCTCCGGCTACAACAGATGTCTCTGCTTGGACACATTTTGCGACGGCCCCCAACCACCCACCCCGAGTTGTGACCTTTAACAGATTTTTACAGCCACAAATGCTGGGAGGGCCCTTTCTGAGGGGAGCTCGAAGAATGAAGTGGAATGATGTTGTTCTTCAACTCGCAACGACCATTGCTAACAACCATTACTTCCACAGGGCAGCCGTGGAGAAGTATATTTGACAAAAACTTTTTGAGGTGGCACAAAACCGGAAAGAATGGTCCGCCCTTTTGCAAACCGTCCGTGTTTCTTGGCGCCGCCCACGCGATGCTGCTGGTGCCCCATGGCAATGAAAAAAAAAGGAGTTGCATCTTTGTACGAACTGAGAGAACCTCACCCGGCAGGTGAAGACACAAAGCAAGTCGACAACCATTGGTATCTTTAGAAAATAAAGAATTTTGGCTTCCAGTATGCCCCAATGATGGGTGGCATGCTTGAACTAGCAGCCGAAGCCAGGTCGCAGAACGCCAACTATGCTGCTGCATGTCATTGCCAGCACTTTCCCGGAATATCCCGTATTAGCCATATCATGCCATATCTTTTCCGGAGTTTCCGGGACTTTTCATAGCCATTTTAAGCGACAGCCACTATATCCACCTCTGGTATACCCTCTGGTGATTTAACATAGCTATGGAATGTAGGGGATGAAATCACATACTTAGGGGACCATCCTCTGGGTGTGTTTAATATTTAAGGGGATGGGATTAGACGGCGAAAGTTGGAGATGTTGCCATGAAATGTTGCTACAGTTGGATAGCATGGTATGTCGAATAATTATTCTAGATAATTATAGTTCGTATATCCAACTACATCATCCAAAACTGAAGAAAATATATCCAATGGGAATGGTTTTCATTTGTTTCTAAATCAACGTGTTTCTGGAAAAGCGCGCTGGCCAGCTCCAAAAAATTGCCACAAGCTTCGCCACCAAACCCCAATTGTGGCTGTGGCTGGACACTAAAACCTGCCACATTTTCTTCTTGGTTCAACGATTCAACCTTCAAGTCCGGGTTGGTCCTTGTGTTTTCATTTTTGTGGCGTATATTTTTTTATAACATTTTATAACATTGTATATTTATACATATTCTTGCATATTCTTACCACTTCGTGGGGTATTTATGAGGCATGAACGCATACTCCGTTTGGCTGGGCCCCTTCAAGACGGCAGAATGGGTCAACAGTGGGTTTATCGCCAAACCGAGTCTAGTCATGAAACAATCATGCCCAAAAAATCTACCCTCGGGTAAACTAACATAGCTATGGAAAATCACCATTTTTAATGGGAAAATCAACTATTAATGGCCATTTTCAATAGCTACGTTAAATTACCAGAGGGTAAGTTTTAACTTACTTCCAGTACGCGATTGTCAAGGTCTTTAGATCTCTACTGCATATCCCATAGATCCCAATGGTGGGGCCCCACTTGTGTAGCATTTGGGAGCATTTGCGTGTCTCCAAGATTCTTGGATCCCACAAATTTGCCAAGACATGTTTTTGTTTCAAGAGGGAAGACACATGATTGCAGTTTGAAATCCGTGTTCTTTGATATCTTACCTTTTTGCGAAATAGACATCGGCCAGGTTTTGGTTTGCGTTTTTCTTGTTGTCACCAAAAATGTATGATGTTGCTAGAGGATTCTTTCCTTCCGGTTGCCTAGGTGATGTCTTAATGGATTGCGTTGTTTGTTTTGAAATGGGAATGACATAGGACATTACGATACTTTTCAATATGTTTCAATAGTTTTTGCAAAGAAACAGTTCAACAGATTTCGACTTATATATATAAATATGAACATATTTTGAAGAGCTGCATTTACAGCAGGCATGAAAGACGTCCACGGGGGTCTAGCAGTTTTATACTTGATCATCATGTTCCCAATTAGAACTGCTAGGCTGGCAGGTAAAAACACAATTTTCAGATACACCGAAATATCCCGAACTCATATTGTTGGTGGTTGTCTAATTTTTACATATTTGTATATCCCATACATCCCCATGAAATATATCAATATCTCCCAATTCACATATTGCCATGCATTTCTTTTGTATCCACAAAACATCCTGACATGTTCATCATGTGAGGCTTGAAGTGAACACTTGCCCATCCTTATCTTCCTCTTCGCCCTTGGCAGCTTTGGTATAAATATAGAGAAACCATCATCTAGTTCACATCCTGCATAAGACTCATCTATCTTTTGGGGTTTCTTGTGTGTGGATTTCGCCAGATGTGTGTGGATTTTCAGCATGGGCAATAGATTTCACCAAGCAATTGATGTCGATCCAGGCATTAAACATAGGAACTTGGCCCAAGATTAATGAGCATGGCTTTTGACAAGAAACAAGGGTATACTCCCATGGAAGGGCTTCCAATTTTTGAGTCCACCCCATATGGCCCATATGGGGATAGGTGAGGTCCGAAAATGCGGCAGGCAAAACACAATCATCCTAGATTCTGCCTCCATTGGTTCGGTAGTGGTTCGGTAGTTTAGTGCCTTACTCACGTTTACTCTATGTTTTTGCATGTTTTTGCCATAAATGTTGAGCCCCATGCTGCTCACAAGCTGCGATGCTTGGTCAAACTGTTGTGGATGGTGCTGGGTGAAGTTTGTTTTGCCATGTGGAACCATGTATCCCTTTGAACATACGTATGTAGAAGATGTTTAAAGAAAAACTGCACAACTGGTTCATCAATGAAGAAATATTGGCTGGTGTTTTTGAACAGGTTTTCAACCCTAGAAATGGGCTGAAAATCCCAACGGACGAGCAGATTCTTCAGTGGTGAAGCCACCAACCTATCAAGAATATTGTGATTTTCCTTAACAACCCGTGGAAATACCAGAAGTACCAGAGCGTAAACCAAACTTTCATGTATTTCCCTTGTCACATCCACATGTTTCATGGTAAATCCCCCAATGTTTCATGATTTGATTACCCTAGGACAAGCGTTTGAAGACTCAGTTGGTTGCGGATATGCTGACCCTGGTTGGCTCGGGCCACCCAGTCATGGCACATTACTGGGTCCCCAGGGGGAACCAACTTGGCAGTTACAACCCGCAATAGAAATATATCAACCAACAAGTAGAAAGCCAAGGTTGGGAATGGTTTAGAAAAAACAATTCCCCTATCATACAAAATACCTGTATTTAAGGGCACCTTTTTTCAAAGGTCAACATAAATTATGATGGTTTTCTTTTTGGGGTTTTGAATACTCAGCGAAAGGGAGTGCAATCTACATTTTCGCTGGGTCCAAAGTTGTCATTTCGCCAAAACCTGGCCAGGTTGTTGATATTACGTTACAATTCATAATTAACCTAGATAGTATATGAACCAGCATTTGTAGATCACTTTCCTTGGGGTTTCCCATTGGTTTTCCATATCTTAACCCCACGGTACATGATTCACGTTGTGTTTTCCGTTTTATTCGGGGAAGGCGTTTCCAATCGGCTTACTGCTACGAGCGTGTGGTAGGTAGAACCGTTCGCATATGTGCAGCAAAAAATAGAACTTGTGATTGCCCAGTAGGACTCCATGTTTAGGACAAGGGCTTCAACTCACTGGCTGTTTCTCTGAGTGCTTTGAGAAGCCCTTTGTGGGAATCCCTATTCATGTAACCAACCACTAGAACCAACCCAGAGTCAGAGTGAGCGACGATACCAATCACTGGTAACTATTGGATCTATTGGCAAGTATGCCCCCCGCATTCTATGTTTGAACAGCCAAACATTTAATTGCATACATGTATATATATATATATGTATTGAATATGGATAGATAGATAGATAGATGGATGGATAGATAGATAGATGGATAGATAGATAGAGATCGATAGAGATCGATAGAGATCGATAGAGATAGATAGAGATAGATAGAGATAGATAGAGATAGATAGAGATAGATAGAGATAGATAGAGATAGATAGATAGAATCGAAGGAAGTTTAGAAGTCAAACTTCTGACAATATGGACAGATGGAAAAGCAGAGGTGGGAAGAGTCAGAGAAGAGAAGAGAGAAGATCAGAGAAGAGAAAGAGTCACCTGTCTTTCGGTAAAGATGGTCCATTTACTTTAGAAAGCCATATCCATGTTAAAGCCTTGAAAATGCAAGGATTCCCAAATAATTAGATGCCTTACTAAACCCTTATTAAAAAACAGCGCTCAAACAATTTTTCAAGGGGGTACCCCATTAGTGACCGAGATCCTCAATAATGTAATTGTTTGGATGGTACCCTATTGTGCACAACAACTTTTGGGGTGAAAAAAAACACACAACACCTTTTATCCACCTTTCTTTGGGTGAAGCTGGTCCATTTACTTTGGAAAGCCATATCCATGTTAAAGCCTTGAAAATGCAAGGTTTCCCAAATAGTTAGATGCCTTATGAAATCCTTATTGAAAAACAGCACCCAAACAATTTTTCAAGGGGGTACCCCATGAGTGACCTAGATCCTCAATAATGTAATTGTTTGGATGGTACCCTATTGTGCACAACAACTTTTGGGGTGATAAAAAACACACAACACCTTTTATCCACCTTTCTTTGGGTAAAGCTGGTCCATTTACTTTGGAAAGCCATATCCATGTTAAAGCCTTGAAAATGCAAGGTTTCCCAAAAAACATAGATGCCTTATGAAATCCTTATTGAAAAACAGTATCCAAACAATTTTTCAAGGAGGTACCCCATGAGTGACCTAGATCCTCAATAATGTAATTGTTTGGATGACCCTATTGTGCACAACAACTTTTGGGGTGATAAAAAACACACAACACCTTTTATCCACCTTTCTTTGGGTAAAGCTGGTCCATTTACTTTGGAAAGCCATATCCATGTTAAAGCCTTGAAAATGCAAGGTTTCCCAAAAACATTGATGCCTTATGAAATCCTTATTGAAAAACAGTATCCAAACAATTTTTCAAGGAGGTACCCCATGAGTGACCTAGATCCTCAATAATGTAATTGTTTCGATGACCCTATTGTGCACAACAACTGTTTGGGCGTTTTTCTTTGGATTTGAAAGGAAAATCAATTGAAAGTAGATTCAAATGAATTGAAAGTAAACTGATGTCAATTGAATTCCTTTCTTATCAAGAGATATGTTTGATTGTTTAACAAGGAAAATCAATTGAAAGTAGATTCAAATGAATTGAAGGTAAATTGATTTCAATTGAAATCCCTTCTTATCAAGAGATACTTGTGATGTTTAAAAGGACAAACACTTGAACGTAGATTGATTTTAATTTGAACCCTTTATCAATAGATTTCTTTGAGGTTTTGAAGGAAAATCAATTGAAAGTAGATTTACATGAATTGAAAGTAAATTGATTTCAGTTAAAATCCTTTCTTATCAAAAGACCTCTTTGAGATTGAAAAAGAAAATCAGTTGAAAGTAGATTCAAATGAATTGAAAGTAAATTGATTTCAATTGAAATCCTTTCTTATCAATAGATGTCTTTGAAGGTTAAAAGGAAAATCACTTGAACGTAGATTTAATTGAATTGAGCGTAAATTGGTTTCAATTGAAATCCTTTCTTATCAATAGATTTCTTTGAGGTTTTAAAGGAAAATCAATTGAAAGTAGATTCAAATGAATTGAAAGTAAATTGATTTCAATTGAAATCCTTTCTTATCAATAGATTTCTTTGAGGTTTAAAAGGCAAATCAATTGAAAGTAGATTGATGTCAATTGAAATCCTTACTTAAGTGGACTACCCTAAAAATTGTTGAGGGGCGGCGCAGAAAATTCCGGCCGAGTTATTGAGTAGACTAAACATTGTTTGAGGGGGGGGCACGCTAATCAGAGGCCAACATTACACTAATTACACTACACTACACTACACTACACTACACTACACTACACTACAACTACACTACTTCACGTTACACTACACTAGACTACACTACACTATACTACACTACAGTACACAGCGCTACAGTACAATATACTACAGTACACTACTTCACACTACATTAAACTATGCTAATTTCACCACACCACAACTACAACTGCAACTACACTACACCAATTACACTACACTACAACTACGCCACCGCCTTGTGCGGTACTACTGGTATGTATATATATATATATATATCGTACAATTTACTCTATATGCAACTGATTGGCGGTTTCGAATCTTCAGTTTAAATTTCAGTATCAAGATGACCCCTTCGATGACTGTACATGTTATACATTTACACCAGCAGTATACCAATCCTGAGAAGCCGCAGGTTTGAGCCCTTACTTCGAGGTGCATCCAACGTGATCCTTTCATGGTGCCCAAATCATCCCAGGGAGCACCACTATCCAGTTACCAACCCACCAAACAAACCCAGCCAGCCATTGAGTTGGGGGGTTGACATTGGAAATGCCCATCGGTTATTTGGGGGGATGATATTTTGCTCAGAAACATTTGGGCATGCTGCATATCCTGCGAGGGATCGCAAAGTATAGGAAATTGATGGAACAAAACGACAAAAACAACTTGGAATCACGGTTTTCCTGGCTTCCCAAAGAAACGTGTCCCTAGCATTTATGGAATGATTTGTTCGAAACTAGGCAACTTGCTACAGAATTTCAAATATGCGGGGATCAATACGGTGTTTTTCCATGTTTTTCCATGTCTCTTCAACCACAGGTTCATACACGCTGTTGGTTGATCGTTTCCTTAGTTAATTTTCATTGTATATATCCTCTGGTAATTTGTCACATAGCCATGCAAAATGACCAACATGTAGGTGGTCTAGAGATACCTGTTTCAACAGTTTTTGAGTAATATTGCCATGTTCCATCATGTTTCATCGCTATGTTAAATTGCGTTCTTCCATTACCAGGTGGGCCCTTGCTGTGTTTTTTTGAGGCCCAAAAATGAGAGGTTCACTCCCTGACCCAGCAAGCCCACACAGATAGCCATGGAAAGTCGCCATTCTTAATAGTTGTATCATCTATAATTTATACTTTCGGGGGGAATCATGGATGAAGATGGTGTATCATCTATAGTTAGACTAGAACTGTTCCATTTTCCATATTTATCTTCGTTTCCTAGATGGTATGTATTGCCTTCGTAATATGATATAAGGAACAGCCCTCAGACGGTCAACCCCGATTCAGTAAGATTGGATTAATCTGTAAATTATAAACAAACCTGCGGTCCCGGTAGAATCCATTAGCTATATCCCCAAAAAAACAATGCCCCATTTGTTTATGCTGGGTTTTACAATGTCAACTCTGGATCAATAAAGCCCTAGGATGTTTAATTAGGGGGGCACCATTTCAACAGTAGAATTTACAACTAATTATTTGGGAAGTACCCAAATTGATAAACGATTATTTATCGATCCGGGGTTTACATTATCCATTATCATTATCCATTACCCATGACCATTTCCTGATCAACTAATCTATGATAATAATATGAAACACGCCCTTAATGGTCCCAATCCAATCTAACACATTACACTACACATAATGTATCTGTGTGGGTCAGGAGCGGCCAAGCAGCGGCCGCTCACGTGCGGACAAGGTTGGGGGGCTCGATGGCTGCGTAAGGATGTCGATGAATCCGAAGTCATGAGGTAACCCCAAGTGCGCTGGATTGTTTAAACATGTTTGCTGCAAACTCTACGTTTGACCGTGCCAGAAGTCAACTGAAGTTCAGAGGGGGTGGGGGATTTGACCCCTCATGAAGATAAGTGGAACTTAATAAACCATTCTATATATTTGTTCAGAGGGCGTGAGGGATTTGATTCCTTATGAAGAGAAGTGGAAGTTAATAAACCATTCATTATATATATATATATATTATATATATTATATATATATATTATATTATATATATTATATATATATATATATTATATATATATATTTGTTCAGAGAGGGTGGAGGACTTGATCCCTTACGAGGAGAAGTGGAACTTAATAAAACCATTCAATATATTTGTTCATAGGGGGTGGGGGATTTGATTCCTTTTGAAAAGAAGTGGAAGTTAATAAACCATTCAACATATTTGTTCGGAGGGGTGGGTGGATTTGATCCCTTTTGAAGATAAGTGGAGGTTAATAAACCATTCAACATATATATATATATATTTATGTTCAGAGAGGGTGGAGGATTTGATCCCTTATGAGGAGAAATGGAATTTAATAAACGATTCAATCTATTTGTTCAGAGGAGGTGGGGATTTGATCCCTTATGAAGAGTGGATTTCCCTAGTAGAAAGCTTCCCTGTTAAACTTATGGATGTCTCAGCCAGATATTAGGATTGTTTGAAAGCAGCAGGCTACAGTCCTTACTTGTGTCGCCAGAGAGTAGCGTGCTTGGAGGGCGTAGATCATGTTTGAGTCAGATAGGGGAGAGATTTTGTGGGTTATGGTCGAACGTGGGGTTTGGTGCCAACATGTTTAAAATAGAAAATCCCATACCAAAATGGATGATATGAGGGTAACCGGGTAAACCCCAGTTTACGAAACCTCCATATGGGTCCATATGTGGTGATTTCACCATTGAAAATGGTGATGCCACCATCGAAAATAGGGATTTGATGGGGATATCATGGCAATTCATGGTATATATCTAAGCAACTTTCTATGATTTTGAGATTTGGGTGCTTGAACATGGGGGATACCCATAATTGGCGACTTTAGTACGAAAAATTGTGATAATCTATAAGGTTTTGGGGCACAGACAAGCCCATTTGCCTACCCATTCAATAGAAAATGTACATGAAACACGTAGCAGAAGGGAACTCCAAATTCACTTTCCATCGGATCGCGGGTGCACCTGACTTCACATGACAGGGCAAGGTTTGTAGGGATATATGGTATCATATATATATATGTTTTTACTGTATCGTAATATATATCACATTTAGATATATGTATAAATATATATATATAGATATCTATTTTTTATATGTAGAGAGAGAGAGAGAGAAGTGAACCGTGATTAGTTACAATGTGAGGTTCCGCCCAGTTATGTCTTGGTTTATAAACCCACCTATAGCATATTTTAATTACCAGAAACCCAAGTTGTCCTTGTCAATCGTGGCATCAAATTGTCTACCATGAATCAGCTGTATCAACTTTAAATCCCCTAAGTTTTATTGGTTAAATCCTGTTGAAACCCCACGTTTCTTGGTGAAATCCTGCTGTTTTTGCTGGTCCCAACTCCAGGGAGCACGCGTCCACGTACGGCCCACGGTGGAACGGCTTCAGCCATTCGGACTGCGATGAGTGTTATATTTGTTCTTTAATGGGGAGTCGAACATCAACTACCTTTTGGGAAACTAACATAGCTATTGAACATGGCCATTTTGTAGGGTATTTACCCATTAAAAATTGTGATTTTCCATGGTCGCAAGGGATGTTTTTTTAATTGGGTAAACTCTCACTGGGATGGTTTATGGGATGGTGACTATGGCAGCCAGGGTTTACCACATTATATTCAACTAATATAGATAACCATAATCCATGATATAATCAAGGATGGCTCTTGATATTTCATAGTTTCTGTGGGGTAATATTATCATAATCATTTGAGTTTCATATGAGATTGAGAGTTATACTATCAAAGGTCTTGAGGATTATAGTGACCCATCAGAATGGGAACCTGTTTTCATTTAATCCTAGTTGCTTATTGGCTTTTCATCCATCAAAAGGTCGATGATTCTAATTTAACCACTACCAACTGTGATTTAATGGGATATGAGTGATACATATATATATATATAAAGCAAAGTATAGTCAAGATGATATGAATAGTCAATTGCACATTTTGGGGGATGCTCATCAATCCATGGGAGTCTTATGTAATCTACCCGTCCATCAGTATGGTCGCAAGTAGCTAATGCCGATGATGACATCCTGGGAACATGGTGTGTAATATGGGGAACATATGGGGGCATCGGAAAATATTGAAAAGTAGTTTATGGAAAAATATGGAAAAATCCAGTCGATTTTTCAGGGTTACCCTCCTAGAATCAAACATGGCTATGAAAACCCAGCAATTGATCATGTTCCTAGTATCATTTGAATAGCTGCGTTGCGGCCGTGTCTTGGCCGCGTAGGCCGTGTCTTGGGATCTTTCAAAGAGGATGGCTGGATGGCAGATGATTCTTCTGGGGTTGATGGTTGTGCTTTATGGCATGAATGATTGCAAATTACTAATTATGAAGTTGTAAAGCGCCAATGCCATAGTCACCATCCCCAAAAGTTGCTTATTATTTGTTAGATGGTTATCTCCTCATATTTAGTCATATGTCAGCGATGGTTTTTCATGTGGTAAACCCAATGCCTTCTTTCACCATCCCAAATAGAGGTTTATGAAATTGTGACTGGTATGATGTTTGGTATGCCCCCCAGTTGTGGCAAATGGGGTGATTTATGACATTGGGTTTACAAACAAAAACAACATCAGAAAGAAACACGCCATGTTTGTGATGATCTGAGGTCTGCATATTTTGCCAAGAGTTGTGTGGATGATTTTGGATGATTACACAAACTGGGAAGCAAGCTCTCAACCTAAGAGTGAAGCGGGCACTGCTCCACAAACCAGCCATTGTACTACAAGAAGGGTTCGAGAAACTCCAGCACATGGACAGAAGATCGTTACTGAAGCGGTGACCACACATTCCACAGATCTAAGGTTGCTTAGTGAAGCCTTCATATTTGTGGAGGTCCTCCAGAAGGGTCTCACATGTGTCGCCCCATATATCATGTTTTATCGGTTTTAGCCATGATTTTAGCTGATGCTGTGATGAAAAGGCAAACCTTGCCCTGCGAGCGTGCGCCTTTCACGGTTCCAAGTAGCCTAGGGTCTGAAAGCATTTGGGGGCAGTGTATCCCTGGGAAATACTTTGAAATCTTGCTTCTTGCTTTGGTATTGGATTTGTCCATCTTGGGGTCCTATTTAGGGTGGATTTATCAGGGGCATGCGATTCGCTTACCAAACAGTCGATAACAACTATTACCGAGTACCAACATGCACAAAAGGGACGTTCAAACATTTGCAGTGGCGCGGTTGGACCTAGCGGATGATCGAAGCAAACCGGAGGGGATTGGAGATGCCGAAAGGTCCCCAGTCCCCACATTCTTTGCGATTGCCGCCGGCCGCTTTACATTGTAGTTGCTGCGAGTGCTGGCCAAAGAATATGTTCGAATGGAAGTGCCTTGTATCTGGAAAAACCGTTTCCATACTGTTGTTGCAAACCACTTGTTTCTTTTTGCAAACATATCAAACATTGTGATCAAAAAACGAAACATGCGTTGAACAGAGACATGTTTGAACGATGGGGGTGAAAACGCCACGGCGACTCGTGCCAGGCTACCACAAAAAATATTATGTTTTCCGAGCACGCCGTTTTCCCCAACCACAAGACATCATGTGGGCACCTGAAGAACCGAGTGCCAACACGCCACTGCGCAATGGGAACGCAAAAGTATTGAAGATTTGTTCCCTTGACTGAATTGAAGATTTGTTCCCCGTTTTGATGTGTCGTTTGGAACGCCCGTGGAAAATATATATTCCATGATTGTCCACCCCATTTCAACATGACCAAACCCGTGTTCCATGTGATGCGTGTTTTTCATATTACGCCCATCAGTACTCAAATCATGGGATGACTTTCATCTCGACGATCTTCATGTTTTCAATTTTCATGTGACCCCCGGCCAGCCCACCGTTGCCCCACACCCTGAATCCCGCCGGGTCCCGAAGACATCCCCGGTGGGATGAGCAAAGAGTAGTGACCAATCAAAAGGTAATTGTTTCTAGGGAAATTCAGAGGACATTGTTAAAGGATCATTACAGATCCTTGGGCGTTAATTTGGGGATGTTGGGGCGTATACCGTATATCCTCATTATATATATACCCCCAGCATGAGCAGTTTCACAAAACCATTTGGTTGGTAATCAACGTGGTACTACCCCGATCCACCCCGTGTATATTAGGGATTATCATAACTCATGGACTGGGAGTCCCCTTTTCAAACAAACCATGATTTTGGGGATTTCTCAAAGATCCGCTGTTTCCAGACTTAGATATATATTGCGATTTGGGACGAAAACGTCAGTTTGGTACACACACACATCTACACACACACACACTTACACTTGGAAACACCCCGAAGGGAAAGGATGAAATGAGATGAAATGAGAATGCATTGTTCCGCGTGCTGGGTTTTTGGTTTTGCCGAGTTGCCATTCAGAAACAATTGGGATCAAATTAGTAGTTGCTGATCATTGATCGCAACAGTTTTGCAGGTACGTCTGGCTGATCAGGCCAGATATTAGCCCGAACCTTGCCCCTATTCGTTGGGTCACCATTCAAGGACGTGAGTGACCCCGTGCTGTTGACCCTTTGTTTCAAGGTTTCTCGCACACACACACACACTCCAAAAATAAGGATTTTACAAACCCTTTTTAGAGGTATTGATGCTGATGACTAACTTTGAAAAGTAAAACCATGGCGTATAGCAACCCCAAAACGATCGAAGATGTTGACCTTACGATTTCTAATGTGTTTTTTGGATATTGTTTCTCTGCTTGGATGTGCCTCCCAGTCTGTAAGCGTTTAACAACCCATACAAAATCGGAAGATTAAGACTGTGTCATTAGTCTAGGGTAGTTCATATATGACTCTTACGTGCTCCTACCCACGGGTCCCAACTTGTGCCCCCAGTAAGTCCAATTCTGCGTAGGGTATTCCATCGATAACCGGCTCACAAAACCGGTTTGTAAGTCCCCGACTCCTGGGTCCGTTAATCCGATTAGATCCTAATAATCAACTGGGGGAACTAACTTATTTAACTCGATGTTTTGAGTATCATCCATGGTTTCCTCGTTTCATAATGTGTTGAAATGATGTTCTAAGTTTTTCTTATCGAAACAATGCTAGTGCTTAAGAAAATGTAATATAATTACTATGACACAACAAAAAAATGGGAATATACCATTGACCTAACTGGGGTAGTTCATATAGTATTGTTATTACCAACGTACTTGAATGTTAAATCGTTGAATCCACCATTTTCATGGAATTAAAACCAACATGTCACCACTTAAATCACATGTGTTTGGTTAAACCAACATTTTTGTGTTTCATCACTGTTTCTGATGGTCAAATCACGATGTGTAAGTTGGTGAACCCCCCTAATTGTTCGGTGTTTTACCCACGACTTTTTTGGCTGACATCGCTATGGTTTCAAAAAAAAAAACGAGGTCAGAGAACCTTCGCCTGCGGGACCTTGGCGAGGTGGAATTGATGTTGTTTTGGTTGGGACTTATGTCATACCCTCTGGTAAACATACAAAAAACTATGGAGAATCACCATTTTTCATGGGAACATTCACTATTTCTATGGCAATTTTCAATAGCTATGTTAGTTTACCAGAGGGTAATTGGGGGTTCATGAATATATGGGACTACTGGCTATTGGTACTTAATTGGGTATACCAATTATGGGACCTTATATGGTTTATACCAATTGTTGCTAACCCCAAGTTAATTGGGGAACTATTGAGGACAATTTGGGACTACTGTTAATATACCAAATCATACTCATACTTCAATTCGCAATCATAACCCCACATTGTTAATCTATTTTTTGGAAGGATTGTGATTGCTAACCCAGAGGTAAAACGTTTCCAACTAACTGGTACAACGGTTGCAAATTATCATTTATTTATGCTTGCTCATTGATGTTTTTTCTGATTGTTAATGGTTGTTAAATGTTATGTATGTTTTTTGTTAACTAGTACTAATTGGTTTTTGGTTTTGCTAGAAATGGGAATTCAATTAATTGGATTTAACGTGTAGCTAACGGTTGCTAATGGAATTGTTACGTGTGATTAACTGTCCTTAAAGGTTAGCAACTGCATGGTCAGGATCTTAGTAACTGCTTATGTCATGGTTTTGGACTTTAACTAGAAATAATTGCTGGTTGGTGGTTTGGAAGATTTTTTATTTTTCCATATATTAGGAATAATAATCCCAACTGACTATATAATATTTTTCAGAGAGATTGAAACCACCAACCAGATTTGCGATTTGACTTAGAAATAAGGATATTGCCATCCCCCCAACTGGCAATGGATCGAATTGAACAATTTTACCGCTGGAAATAGGAATTTGAATGGGTTTGCCCTCTCTAACTAACTTTTAGCCGTAAAATCAAGCAATGTGAATGACCTAATGGGTGTTCATGGGATATTAGCGGATTTTACCATATGTTCATCCATCCTTTTTTAGGAAAAAATGAACTTTATCCTGTTAACTAGGGAGAATTGGGATTGGAAACCACGAGTTATCAATTTAGCAGCTGTTGATATATATATATATATATAGATAGATAGGGTAGGGTAATAATGCGAAGGAATGGTTGAGAGGTGATGAAGCATTCGAAGTCCGCCGTAGCCTAGATTCTGAATATGTGCAAACAATACAATGTTGAATAATATGTGGAGGATTCATTGTGCTTTAGATCCTATAAGACTCTATAAGACCATACTTGGGATCATGTGTATATATATATATGTACTGTATATTCATATATATATATATATATCGATAGCATAGACATTTTTTTAAAGATTGATTAACATCATAAGTTATCAGGGTATTGACTAGTATTGATGCTTTACGCTTTACACATTCTTTTCGGGTCCTTGCACGAAGCGGGGGCCTTTTTTGATGATGGGATTCCGGTCCGTAAGCCTAGCCAGCACTGAAACATTGGTTCATATCATTCATCCTTTACAGAACCCTAGGCTTCTAGTCTAACCTTCCAGTTACTGTAGGTAAGAGCTACTGTAACCACTTCAGTTACTCAGACTGAGATCCATTGGTTTGCGGAACCAAGGTTGTTGTAGAGATTCAAACCGTGGTCGGGGGGGTACTGTAACTCCAAAGAATCAAAAAGATAGAACTTGATAGAACAGTAATTCATAGTAATTCCTAAGGTAATGCTTCAATGCTTCACCATCCTAGTTGGATTTCACTTTCCAGTCCATGGTAAACGATGGCCTAACCAGGAGGGAAAATTTTGGTCATTGTACCATATGTTACTTCTATGCTACCCAATTTACCCCTCTTGTAGCTGGGGTGTTGGCCAACAACTCTGTTTTTCATGGGTTTTTATAATGTTTTATATGGTTTTATGCCATTTATACCATCATTTTACATCATTAACCCATGATTTCCCCCATCATTTCCCATCCAGATAGAGAGGCCGAGTGGTCCATCATCCTGGATGCACACGATGAGTACCTGCGTCAGAGGGCTTAGCTGGCCTGACGAAATTGTATGGGGGATTCTTAATGGGATATACCCTCTGGTTATTTAACATAGCCATGGTATAGATGGCCCATTTATATATGGTTCACCTATTAAAAATGGTGATTTTCCGTGGCTATGTTAAATAACCAGATGGTAATGAGATTTAACGAGAAATGGTGGGTTTTCATATGTCAATGGTTTTATTAAGTCTCATGACTCATGAAATGATTATTAATGTTTTCTGACAATGTTTTTGGTTCTTAATCATGGGATTATATAGTACAATGTGAGGATTTTTGGTGGTTTCTGAAAAATCATGGATGTATGATGCGGATATAGATGGGCTATGGCTAGAACGGATGTATAACTGGTGATTAAAAGGCAACTCTTTTTCTTTAATGGCGGACAGCAACATCATGTTAAAGAGGTGAATCCTCTGTTTGAATTGAGAAACACCATGAAACACCAAGGGGATCGATTCAAACTCAAATCGACCAACTTCAAGTTTCGCACAATTGAATATGGACCCTAGTTTTCAGTATTTGGGGTACGTTTAGAAATGTTTTGAAATAGGGGGAAGGGATTATACAATATAATACAATATAAACATACAATTATATACACACTGTATGTGTATATATATATACAGGTAGATCGCCGCTGTCAGTTGGTTCTTTTTGCCTCCATTCGTTTCGTGCCGTTCAACGTCAACAGCTCCCAGGTCGAGGGGCCTATGAGCGGATTTTCCCAGATCTGAACTTTCAGGTCCGACGCGACACAGACCGCGAGTGGAGGGACTGAACGGCAATGCTGGCTGCAGCGGTTTGCCGTTTGGGACGAGCCGGTTATGTTCGTAAAGCAAGATTAAACCACCTGTATTTTGATGGATTTATAGCATTGAAGGTACATTTGAGATCATTTGAGATCGGTTGAGGATGGTTACTATTTACTAACACTACATCATTAACAGGGTATCTAAAGATTGGCCATGAGGATTTTTTTGTGTATGGGCATTTGCGCAGGGGTCTAAATTCAAGACCCGGGAATCACAGAGTTTGGTCCATGTTGAAAGGAAACACCATCCATCCATTGAGGTCCCCCATGTGATTCGTGATTTTTCCGGCAATGTTTAAATTCCACATAAATTGTAGTAAAGAAAAACATGCTCGGTTATGTGTAGTTTTGGAGATGTGAACAGATTCAAGTTGCTTGAACCTTGGGATGTTTTCAGCTCTTCATGGTTGGTAGCGATCGTTTGAATACCAAACATTGCCAAACATGTGATTGGTCAGAACATGGCTTGTTTTCCCATATTGAGGGATTGTCATTCATTCGGATTGATATCTCCATTTTTTCAGGATTCCCAATACGGCGGGATGGATGACGAAAATCCCTATATCAATGGCCATTCCAGGAACCCAAAGTGGAGGTACCATATGCCTAAGGCCTATTTTTTAGGGCTAAATTTCAGGGGATATACCCCCAATTTCTGGCTAAGAACATGTTATTAACGTAGCTCCATAATAAGGATCCTGGAGATCTCCCATTGAACATCTGTGATGACCTGACTGCCGCTCCAACAAGCAGATGAGATCTGATATTGCTGTAGTGTTGGTAAAAGAATAATAGACCAGCCATATGGTGATATTATGGTGATTAATGGTGATTAATGGTGATATTATGGTGATTAATGATATTGATTGATGGTTTACTATTGATACATTGATATTGATTGATACATTGACACTGTTTATACATGTTTATACCATCCATGGGATGGGATGGTTTACTATTGCTTTTAAATGTTTTTAAAACATCACAGGCACGGTCATCTGTGAAGTTGTTGCAAAATTCTGGCACTGGCGCCATGCGATATGCTTCTCATTGACCCATTTTAAAAAATGATAATTTCAGCATCCTCACTTGAAGTTTGCATTAGTTCGCAAGTAAAACAAACACGAGCTACTATTATAAGGAGGATGCTTCCCACTATTCACCAACGGGAATGATCTGTTGTGCTTCCCATTGTTTCCCCATTCCCTGGAAAAACAGATCCGGTCTCAACGCCCGCATTGTGGCGCCAGGAATTTTTTCGGATACAGCGCTATGGCAACTGTGTCCTTGCCAAATGGCTTCGTGAAGGAGGTTCCGCAGCCGACCAGGAACAGGACGACGCCAAGTCCGTGCGTTGATGTCCCTATATTTCCCTTGTTCAAAAGTCATATGTTCGATAGCAAACCATTGGTTTACCACAGGATTTGTTTTTGAAGTTGGTGATATAAGTGAGATATATGTGATATATGAATATATGAAATGTTTGTCGGTGGATGATTTGTGGATTTGGGATTTGGGGAGAGGTATGGAAGCCTCGATGTGAGTTTTCATTAGTTACATTTGTTTGTATTCGCTGTTTGGAATTGTTTTCTGCGAAATACTTTAATGCGTGCATCCCTTTGATTGTGAAGATAATGATCTCAAACGGCAATTTGAGTTTCCGTTCGTTTTTCTAGAGTGTGGGTCAGCGACCCAGATTCTGTTTCGTTGTGATTCTCTTTCAACATCGGTTCAACCAAACCATGGTTAGAAGAGAAGTAGCACGGAAGAATAACATACATCAATCTCAACATTTCTTGATGTTCAAGGCATAACAACGTCTACAACACAACGCTGTCAACACCATTTCCTGCGGCATTTCTTGCCCCTTCCCCCCAGGTGAAACATGCTTCCTCCCCGGCCGCGAAGATCTGCTTGGGGGCCTGGAGAGGGGATGATTTTGTTTCTGAGAATGGCTGGAGTTGGCAAGAAAAATGAGGATTTGAGTAGGACTTAGGCAAGCCTGGGATTTGATGGGATTAGTGTCACGCAATGTCACACACACACACATATATATATATATATTTATATATACATATTATATACATACATATATATATATAATTATATATATATTATATATATATATATGTATATGTCTATGATATAATTATGCATGTTTTTCTCTGGGAAGATCGATGATGAGCCTGTGGAATATCTGGTTTTTGGGCAGACTCAAAAGTTTGGGTGATCTCAGTAATTCTATCCCAGGAATAGAACCATGATCCCGTGGTTTTGCGAATCTGAAGGAAGTATCAAAATTACCTAGAACCATCAGTTTCACCAGAACCATGATTGGGTATCATATTATTGAAATAAATGAAGTAGCATTCCAAAATAGAGATGCTCCACCTTGTTAAATCCCAAACCCTGCAACATAATATATAAAACCAGGTTTCTCGTAGTACCTATCTATAGAATTATCTATCTATATATGAGCATATATATACAGGGATTAAACCTGTCAAATAGGTATTACCCCACATGGTTCTGATGTCATCACCGAACCATACCAGACCACTACATGATAAATGGTGATATCATCAAAACGTGATGAGTGACCAGGCTGATGAAGATTCGGTCCGGTTGAGATAACTTTGAGTTCAATTTCTCTTTGGTTTGGGCAAACCTTGCTCATTGGTCAATGCTTGGTGACGCACCGAAACTACGACATCTGGTTGGTGGTTTGGAACATGTTTTACTTTTTAGTTTTTTTTCCAATATGAAGATCGGCTGGGGAAGGCTACCAGTCAAATCAGTTTTTCTGCGTGGAAAAATCAGGACTAGTTCCCACCATCTCCCTATCATATTTCCCAAGAAATATATGGACACCGGCCACTATATCCACTTTATATATCTTTATATCCACTATATATATATATACCCTCTATCACTTATACCCTATGTTTATTTTACCAAGCTATGGAAAAATACAATTTTTAATAGGCAAATATTGCTAAATCATCCATCAATGGCCACTATGAGCCGCTCTGAGGCGGCCCAATTGGTTGCCTTTGCAACTCTTCACCGGTGCTTGTTGAACGAACAACAGGCCGCGTCATTCCCATGGTGATTCGTTATCTGTTTTTGAAGGATTGTTTAACCTGGGAAGAATGTGGAATTAATATGATTTAATCGGATTTGACAAGCAAAACTTGAGATTTGGTTGGATTTACCATCAATATGTGGGATTTAACGACGCAACATAGGGATATCATGGGGATATGTACAGAACAGTACGACATTTGTGTATCTGAAAACAGAGCACGAGTATATCGTATACGCTCCATTGATGGTCATTCCATTTTGTGGTACCCAACTTGTTGGACAACCCAATCTGGGCAAATTGTAAAATCCTCACTGTGGCGTCAATGTAAATGCTGATCAGATATGATTTCGTAGTACAGTGAACCATCCTAAACTGACCTTATTTCAGGTTGGAGTACTTCTAAAATGCCCTAATAATGTCAGGTTGGTGAACTATAACGAAATCATATACTGTCAAACCATATAAATGGTGAGTTGAGTGCTAGGTGATGGTAGTTTACTGTAGTTTTTAGCCATAGATTGGGGAAGATGGTATATAAAAGAATGTTGCCTGATGCTTGCTCAAGGGTGGAAAATCACATGCATTGCAGGATTTGTTTTGCTGTATATCTAAAGTTAGCCATGCCGGCAAGTTCTCCAGTTTGTGGTTTTTGATTTGGCATCTACACTCTGGTTATTTAACATAGTAGATAGAACTGGATGATGGGAAAATTTACAGGAAAGCCCTATATTTGATGGTAAAAACCATGGTTTCCTGTAGATTTTCCCTTAAACCAATCCATTGAATAGTGAACTGGAAAATCACCATTTTTTTCGTTCGGTAAATCTTCGAACCAGCCATGGGCCATGAAGCCTGGACAATGGCTGCTAAGCCCTATCGGTCGATGAGAAATTTGATGGTGAAACTGGGGTGGTGATCAACTGGGTATTATGATCATGATGGTATTATATATATCTGGGTAAATTATAACGACCTCACTGCGACCTCACTGGAATCATGGTTAATAAGGGAAATCATCCCCAAATGGCCTTAATTCAGGTTAGTGAATTATTATAATTTGCCCAGATATATATATATATATGTGGCATTATTTTATGTTGTATTATATGGGGTTATTACGGTTCCCAATTTGTGTTGGTGGTTATCAAAATTCATGAACTGGGCATCTCTATTAACCAACCAGTACATCATGGAATGATGTAGCGGGCATTGGCTCAGAGGCTTAGAAAATCTTGGAATCTGCTGGGAAAATGTTTGCCTCACAAAAAAGTTTGAATGGGAGCTGATTGTCCACTTGCCGGGAACTTTGCTATAATATTTTTCAAATAATTAACCCGGTCAACCTTAGATACTTTAGTCCTTTAATCTTTTGCTATCAATGGGAACATGTGCTAACCAGTTAAAAAAAAGGCAGGTATCCAAGATTCACCATGATCGTATTCTAATTGTGATCATTTATATTGATGATCCACTGACCATCACCTTTCACAGGATAATCCTGAACAGTTGCTGTAGAAAGTTGGAAGCCTAGATAACGGGACTATGATAATCGCGTCCAGTCGTCCGATCATTTCACCCACGTCTACGATGTTTGGAAAATCATCTCAGATTGCATACCGATCAAAGAATATTCTATGTTTTGATGGGCAGAGTTATATGGCTCAAGAGTTCCCAGCCAACTTTGGCAGCTAACTCATCAGCAACCCATTATAGCATCCCCCCCGAATAAGAGGAGTTGGAGAGCTGGAATTATGGGGGAAACATCATTTTCCTCACATCCCGGAAGCACGTGTTGGCATCTTTTTGGGGACCCCCATAGTGACCTGACAATGGCATATCGTTGAACATATAACCCGGAGAACCTCAGCAGTGAGCCGAAATGGCCTCTATGGACCACCGAAGATATTGTTCAACAATATCATCTGCATTAAGATTTAAGTTCGAAGCTGTTTGAATCAACCAAGTATACATAAGTCTACTATTGTATGTCCAAAAGCATCTTAGAACTACAATATATAAGCAAAACTATGTATAATATATACAGTGTGTACGTATCAGTTGTTTGAATCTTCAAAAAACAAGTGTTCAATTTGTGTCAAGATCCATCGCAAAAAAGACCTTCAGACCAGAAGGACAGTTCCTCGCTTGGCATCGTGCGCCATGGGGGCGAACGCATGCAGCAAAATTTGTGGCTTCATGGGAAGATCAGAGGAGGTGACTGAGACAAAACTGGACAATTTGGGACCGCTAAAAGAAGGTCGAATCGGTAACCAACAAATACATACTGTATATGATATATTCGATATATATATATAGATTGAGCCAACAAAAGATTACAACTGTTGTTTTGGTTCAGAGATACTTGATTTATGAGGGGTTGCAAAAATAATGCTAAGTGTTGGGTTTGTGGTGCATACATGTGTATTGTATAGTCAATAAGTATGTATAAGTCATATAGTGTCCCCTTCCTGCATGAGAAATGTGTCAAGGTTGGAACTTGGGGTACCCAACATTAGTTGGTCGAAGAAAGAGAAAAACACATGTGATTAGATGTTATAATATGTTATCAAATTAGTTATAAGATGTATTCATATGTTATAATCAATTTAATGGTTTGCCTATTAACAAATCATTCATAACTAGATAGTTTTAACATTTCATGTATTCTGAACAGATGTCCTCACTCAAGAATGCTTCAAAGAAACGTGCTTCAACGGTGGAGATCCAAAAGAGGCCACGCAACTTCCATGACCGAGGCGGTCTGCGAAACCCGCACCCGCGCCAGCACCATCTTGCAGCTGGAGAGGCGCCAGCGTCGGTCGGCTGGTCCCCAATGGACTGGTCACTGGTGTTTACCTGGCAATTTCTATGGTGTTTGGCTGTTTGACCTGGCATACCTGACATACTGACATCTTAGTTGACAAAGTATGGCAGTCTATCTGACACTTTAGCTGGCATATGACATTCTATGTGGCATATTCTCGCAGTTTATTTATGTTTATGTGTCATTTTTCCTGACATATATTCAGACATTTTGTCTGACATAGTTTCTGACACATTATCCATTTTTTCCAAGATTTCATATGACATCTATTCTCACACCTTAACTGAACTGAGTTATGTCTTGACATTTTGTCTGACGTTTTATCTGGCATTCTATCTGCCACATTTTCTGAGATTCGACGCTGCTCATATGCTCACATTTTATTTTACATATTTAAAATATATTCTAAAAGTATCTCACATTCTATCTAGCTGAGCTTTCTTTGTCATTCTATCTGAAGTATTCTGATATTTGATTCAGCGTTGAATCTGGTATTCTACTTGACAGATTTTCTGACTGATATGCTTGCTTTCCTGTGTTTTTTGGCAAACTGTCTGACATTTTATTTGACATGTATAAATATCCTGACATTTCATCTGGCATTCTATGACGCATACTCCGACATTTTATCTGGCATAGTGTTCGAGTCCGGCCAGACCTCACCTGCAAGGCGGGGAATTATGCCTTCTTAGTCCTGGAAGCGGAAGCATATTGCACTGTATAATATTGTAGACTTAGATGCCATTCCAAAAAAATAACATTCACATGATCATAGAGCCAAATAAATTGCCTGGTTGGCTATCAAAGGTTCATTTTTAGGATGATCCCATATCCCTATCAAATACACCTTCAATGGATCCTGTGGGTATAGGTCAAAATCTAAAGCCACAAGGGATACCCTGTTTTGACCCGTGTCCATATGTGTAAATCCCCTACGTAAAGCGTGGTTTCTGGCGGCTTTCAGATTAGGGGCAAGAGACATGAAGAGACTAGTTTGTCCACATGTCGAGAATTTGTACCCAAATTTAGCTCTGTTGCAAGGTATGGAAAAGTAGCTGTCTAGTGTTGCTTGCACTGGGTTCCTAATATTTCCCTCAGTGTACAAATGGGGTTCAGGATGTGACGTTCTGGGAACGATGAATTGACCAAGCAACAGGTTGTGTTCATAAGTGGCTGATTGTTTATTGCCAATTTCACTTACTCTAGGGTGCATACAAATATATTCTGTTAATATGTCAGAAGCAACAGCCAGGATCGACGCTGTGAAGTGTTCGGAAGCAGGCGTGGTGGGGAAACATCACTGGCCAGACAATCACCGTATTGTTCTCCATATTTTGTTTACTTGGCACTTGGGAATAACAGTATTATTCTCAGGTTATATATGGTTTAATTAGGAATGATATAAGGGTTATAGACTTGTGTATATATATATACATACATACATGCATGCATGCATGCATGCATACAAACATACATACAAACATACAAACATATATACACATACAAACATACATACAAACATACATACAAACATACATACACATACATACAACAAACATACACACATACAAACATACAAACATACAAACATACAAACATACAAATATACATACATACATACATACAAACATACATACATACAAACATACATACATACAAACATACATACATACATACACACATACACACATACATTACATACATACATACATGCATGCATGCATGCATGCATACATACATGCATGCATGCATGCATGCATGCATGCATACATACATACATAATTACATACATACATACATACATACATACATACATACATACATACATACATACATACATACATACATACATACATACATACATACATACATAATTACATACATACATACGGAATATGAACCATTTATTGTTCATTTTCAGACCAGGACAGCCATGCATTTCCATACATCGACTGTATGACAGTTTTCTAATGCGCAGATCCTCCCAGGCTGGTTGAGTTATTTTACCTAAGGGTAAATTTTCTAGAGCCCCAGTTGAATATATATATATATACTTATGACTTATAGTTATACAGTTATACCCATGTTTGGCAATTCCGGGGGAAACACATTTTGCCAAGCGTTTACATAAGATGCCAGTGGCCAAACCCCTGTTTGCGAATCTCTTGTAGTGGTTGATCAAAAGAGTGTTTGAAAACAATCCATGGCAGGAAATCCAAGAAAAAAAACAGCTTAGCAACAAGTCCGAAACGCAACCACCATTTCCAATGGTCCGTTTTTGCAAAAAAAATACTGACCTTCATCTCCTTGAGGTTTACTTAGTTTACCAGAGTGTATCCCAAAAAATCAAAGGTTGATTCGAAAGGTGTTGAAGGCCTTAAATTTTCGTATTCCGCTGGGCGCACCAGGCGGGAAGTGCCTACATTGTGGCTTGGTTAATGGCCTCGTCGGCCTCGGCCATGTATGGTTTCTTTCATGGAACATCCTACTAAAATGGATGATATGGGGGTACCCCTTCAGGAAACCTCCGCATGTATATATATATATTATAACATATTTAAAGTATATATATGTATATATTATATATATGTTATATATGGTTTTTATTCTATATATACTTGACCACAAGCATCCTGGAGTAGATAGAATATTGACATGTGAAAAAAAAACCATGTCTGATTTCTGGCAATATTAGTTGGAATATTCTGAATCCATTCCAGGATGACCCCATACATATATAATTACATGTATATATATATATGAGATTATCATGGCATTATAACTGTAATGTGAGACATATATATAATATATATATATATGATGTATCTCTATTACATGGGATTAGAAGATGAACAAAAATGTACGAGATTGTCATGTGGCATTATCTCCATGATATGGAGAATTCAGCTTCACAAATAAAGGGCTTCTTATGGGAGCATTGGAATGGGGATCCCATTAGGGGTACCTATGAATTCCAACCATTATCCCAGGATCCGTTCAGGTACTCTACAGTTCCCTACCCTCAGAAAAAACCGTGGCAATGGATGGCAATGGGACATCCACAATGTACAGATGGTTTCACCTCAATTGATAGGGAATTTCCCAGCCAGCCATGTTTGATTACCGTTTTTCTCAATGGATTGGAATGAGAATTCCCATTGTTGATCGTTAAATCCCATTGAATCCTCATTAAACCGGATCAAATCGTATTGGGTATAACTGGAGGGTAGATGACCAATATTCCATCATATAATTATCCCAGTAATATCCCATTAGTATTCCATAATAGTCCCGTTAAATGATTGTTGATTCCCATTAAATGATAGTTTAATATGATGTTAAATCACCATTTATGGGATAATATCCCATAACTCCCCATTACTTTCCATGAATTTCCACTAAATCACCATCAAATCTCCTTACATAAACATGTTTAATTAAACCACATTAAACCACATTAAACCACATTAAACCACATTAAACCACATTAAACCACATTAAATCCCATTAAATCCCACTAAATCATGATTGATCCGAATCTCCCCAGCCAACAGCACCCACAAAAAAAGGCGACGGTTGGGGCTACAGCCACGTTGAAGACGGTCTACCCCTGGATCTAGAGCAGCACCAAAGGTGAGATCCTGGTATTTCCCTGGTGACTTTCCAAGGAAAATGGTGGATTTCATGGGATTTCATGGGGTTTCACGGATATTTTGATGGAAAGAAAGGCGACTTCACTTCAGGAAAATGACCATGATGGAAACTAGTTAGTTGAGTTCCCATGAAAATTGCTACTTTGCCGGAAAATGATGGATTCTACCATGAAAAATGGCGGTTGAATCTTTAGTACTTTGACCTTGTGTGAATTCAATGGGGACGTGTACGAACCAGCAAAGAATATCTCAAACCATTTTGGCAGGATATCCAAGATTGGCCATGTGTAATCCTTGCTGGGGTAGGACTGAGAAATGGCTGGTCACAAGCAAGATCCCAAACGCATCCGACTCATTGGAGGTACATCCCAAGCCCGCAATGGTTTAAGTGTTTACAACCTGCTTAAAAGAACCCATGAACCTAGCTGGCGATATATCATGATCTATCAGTTCTGCAGCGTCATTTCAGCTGCTTGTTGGCCACCATAGAACAATGCTTCTCTCTTCCTCACTTTTTGTGGGATCAGACAGGTGTAACGACTGCAGCGAGTGCGAGAAGTGCGAGGGAGCAGGTGTGAACCGCCCCATCGCCAGGGCCAGTCAGGGGCTCCCAGCTGTCACGACTTCCCAGGTGGAGATGAAAAGAGGCCCAGGGCTATCCAATTTTTTTTGAAACGCCCAAGGGCCAATAAAGATATGGACTAATGTTGGTTTATCCGACCAATTAGATGCATATTTATGGTTTATTTGATTTTGTTTGTGTTTGTTCAACACGAGAGGAGCTGTGGCGGTGTAATCAACCATCAAAACAGCTGCCAACATACGAACTGATATGGGATTGCTACTTCAAACATCTTCAAAACACATCAAGACATATTGAATCTGCCATCTCGAATAACTCGGCATGACCGTCCAAAGTATCCACATTTCATCCCACTTTTGATGAGAAAGATTCCAGGCGGTTTGTCCAGAGTTTTTCCAGGTGTAACTGTTTCAGGTGATGTGCCTTTTCTTGAGGTATAAACATGCTGTGGAAATTGAGAGAGCCCCACCCCACCCACCTTCGACTAAAGAAAATCATTCACTCAATTGACATGACAAAAAGGCTTGGCCCAAAAGGAGAGACCATCAAGACATTGGACGGACATAATCATAGATGTCTCTCTTGCACTTGGTTCCCCTTAGTTAGTACCCATGCGACCCGTGCTGCCCTTTTTCGAAAATCTGAGGTTCATCAAGAAGAACGTTAAAAGGCCGTGCGACGTCAGACTTAGTTGGCCGCATGTCGGGGGGCCTTCATCGTCTCTTGTAACCTCAATCACAATTGGACTCACAAAGTTGTAGTTGTGATCCCACTCATCTTGATATGAGCCGCCATTTTTAATGTGGCTTAAATAACAATAAATAACAATGACTCACGATGCCATGGCATCCCCAGCTGAGATATCATGTCTTGTAGGTTCAATCGCAATTTATACAGGTCAACTGCATTCATCGCCAATTCTTGTAGAAAGTTCCCATAGAAATCCTAAGTTTTCTTCGTGAAACAACTTACTGCTGCTTAGCAGGGAATGGAGGAATGGGAGGATTTTTTTCATAGATATATTATATGCATGTATATTAATGTTGGGCTCTGATTAGTGTAGGGCCCCCCAAACAAATTTTGTATTCTCAATAACTCGCCATTTTTGTGGCGACCAGGTCTGGAGGATAATTGAACTCAATTTACTTTCAATTGATTTTCCTTTTAATCCTCGAAAAAATCTACTGATAAGAAAGGATTTCAATTGAAATCAATTTACTTTCAATTCATTTGAATCTGCTTTCAATTGATTTTCCTTTTAAATCTAAAAAACAATCACCCCCAAAGTTTTCCTTTTCAAGGCTTTAACATGGACATGGCTTTCTAAAGTACATGAAAATGCAAGGTTCCCCAAATAATTATAGATGCCTTATTAAACCCCCCCCAAAAAAACAGCACCCAAACAACTTTTCAAGAGGGTACCCCATGAGTGACCGAGATCCTCAATCATGTAATTGTTTGGGTGGATCATTCCCTCATTCCTTTCACCCACCGGAGGCGGTCGTCTCCCCGGCTTGCCTGGGGGCCTTCCGGGGCTGCCGCCCAGCGGCTTCTGAGGGCGAGCCTGCGGGACATGTCGCGGTGATGTGATGAAAACACATGAAAAGTTGTTGAAAAGTGAGATTTGAATAGATTTGATGTGATTCAAATATCTTCAAATTGGCTTTTGAATCATGGAACTACATGGAACTAGTCTATGATTTTGCCCATATGTTGCCTTTTTGACCAACAAAATGAGAAGCAAAGTAGTGGATTTGGGGTTGAAGATGTGTGGCAGCATAGAATTGGATGGGAATGAGTCATACCTGACGAGATGAACGTGCATTTCTTGAAGCTATTTTGTTGTGAGCAGTAGAGTACCAGAGTTTTGACATGTGATATATAGATATATAGTAAACCCGCAAGAGATAGAGGAAAGGCCTACTAAAGTGGTGGCCAGTTTTGTGTGGTACTATTTACTATTCCTGTATTTGAAGAACATGTCGCAATTTATATCCTAAAACGACGTTGATTTGCTGGAAAGGAAGACATGAAGATGGTTTGTTGTTCAATATGTACTTTTCAAACAATGGACGGGTTGATCAGGGTGTGAATCTGAATGGAGCATGAACATAGAAGCAAAGATACAGGTAGGAAGTGAAACAAAGCTCAAACATGTAATCCAAAAGTGACATTGAAAGCGCTTTCCAAGTGTTCAAACCAGGCTTCACCTTGATGTTGAGAGTGAAACCAACAAGAAAGGCAGTATATTCAATAAACTTGGTGATGCAAGAATAACATTGAGTATACATCCAGCTAAACCTACAATGATCGACATACAGTCCATCTAAAATGGGCATTTGCAAAAGCTTGGAAGCTTTGCCCATCTCTTTTACTGACTGATGGTGTCCATCCCTGTTTTGAGTGAAGATCGGGTTCAAACCACCAACCGTTGGGCAATGATAGATCTTCCAAAATTGCTGGTGTATTGCTGGTGTGTGCGTTGAAAGTTTGACCCTGGCGACATGCTCTCCTTTCATTGTTTCTCAATCAGTTTCATTTGCAATACTACTGTGGATGGAAGAAATCCTGCACCACCAAAAGGATGGTTGAAACTCCAGAAATAATGGGATTAACCATCTATCCACAGTCGGGGTCCCTGCATATCTTGGATTGGGCTGCACAGAGGAGTGGCCAATCGGCACCTGTTTTTCACAGTGCCGACCCGTTGCCGTTGGGCATCGGGTCGGCAGACGAATCCCGTGGCTGGACGCCATTCCAGTTACTAAGTGGGTAATCTTTAGAACCATTTTGATTATATTTGATTATAGGATAAACCTACCCCGGTAGTGGCAGCCCCCAAGTCCAAAATAGCTGTTGTTAACTTCTCGACGTCCAAGCCGCTGGATTGGCTACATACTCCTTTGCTGCTCTTACGTGGGCTGTTTTTTTTCCTGGATTTCCCTGGACATGGGCATGGGTTGACTACGACACCAGACCGCTTCTCCTTAAAGTCAAAAAACCGTGGTTTTTTGAGACATATACCCTCTGGTAAACTAACATAACTATGGAAAATCACAATTTTCAATGGGTAAATCCACTATAAATGGTCATTTTCAATAGCTATGTTAGTCATTACCAGAGGGTAAGGTGAGGTAAATCATCCCGTAGATGGGAAAAAAAGGGCAGATCCCAGCGGGAGGTATTGTCGTAATACATATATAGATACACTATGATACACTGATATACCACACTGATATACCAATAGTAATTATATAGATATATATATATATAGATTTTGACTATAGATTAGTCCCATCCCCCATTGATATATTAAAAAAAGCAACGATATAATAAATCATGATTGAGTAGGGGATGAAACCACATATTGGGACCCAGCCAAAAAGGGTAATACTAGCATTGTAGTCAAATGATCTCCCCATAGTCAATGATATTGGGTCAAAGTTGGTTAGATACTTTAGTAATGGTATAACAATGGATTTCAACCGTAAATGTACTAACCATTGTAATCAAAGTTGATAGTAGTTTAATCTTTTGCTATCAATGGTAAAATGATGTACAGTAAAATCTACTAACCAGCTGAACCATGAATATAAGTGCAAGTAATCCAGTCACAAAGCATCTCCGAACTTCAGAAATCGTCCCGTTAAATGCCCCGGCCACTGTCCGCAAGTCCTTGCCCATGGAAGCTGGCAGAGCGCCTGTGGAGACATTGGCAAAAAGAAGTGTGGATCTTTTCTGAGTAGAATCATGGTTAGTAGATTACCCGACCTGGATGGTGGTTTCTTACACCACACACCCGATAAAACACAATTATACAGCATTGATAAACAAACCATCTAAAATGGGTGATTTAGGGTATTTCAGCTTTGCAACCTATAGATGAGATCTTCAGAGCCAAGGGGCATCTACCTGAGCTGAACCTTCAATGCGAGGCGTCGCCTGAGTTGCGAATGCATCTGAGCTCTGCGTTCGTTTGATGGGGAGTTTGGGTGCTTGCATTGTTGCCTGGAGTTAGTAAAACACCTTCCGTACCCTTTTCTGCATACCCACCAGTGCCTCACGAGCAACCTAATGGAGCGGTTGGTGCCCCGTTCACCGTTGTCCAACCGATTGCGGAATCAAAGCGAGATGATCCAACTCATCGCGAATCGAAAACAGAGAATGAGAACCGAAATCACGCTAAAGATTTTTGAGAGATAAAGTGGCCAGAAGAAACCAAGCTCTAGACGGAATGGAAAAGCAGAATATCCCATAGAAACCTTTAAGTTGGCTAAACCCGAACTCCGAACAGATTTTGCTACGATCATCCAATTGGAACCCATGCTTCACATCTTTAAGAAAGGCTACAGCAGCGCGCCGAAACTTGCACACATTGTGATGAACTGACCAATGGTCAAACCATTCAACTGTTTCAGGAAACAAAGAACAAAAATCCACAAACAGAACGCTTCAAACACCTTCCGTACCCATTGCTTCACTATATACTGAAGAACAACGGACACAGAATTGAGATTCTTTGTCTCAGTTTTTTTTTTGGAATCCTTCAAGTGAACATTTGCTAACTTCAGAGATCCAGCCTGGACCTTCGTGTTGAAGAAGACACGCTGCGAACGGTCCAGACACCTTGCCCAGTGTACAGATGGAGTGTGGTGAGAGCGTGAAGTGATAGGAGGTTGCATTTGCACCAGAGACCCTGGCGGTAGATTATTTAGGGACATACCAAATGATTCAACTGGTCTTTGTTGCTTTTAAATTGCGGTAGCCCCTGCTTTTCTGTCTTTTTGGGGGTTGCTATCTTTTGAGTCAACTGGGAAATACATATGAGCCAACAAAGTAGAAGAGGACACAACTGAATGTTCCGGACCAGCAGCCGTAGATTTTGACCACAATGAGTTTCTTTGCATCAAATTCAAATTGTCCCTCTTCAAACATAGAATTTATGAACCATTTGGCATTGAGGAATAATTGGGGTTGGTCCATGGCCATTTCAATTGGGAAGATAATAAATTATTGGATTTGAGGATATCTTATTCTCAGACAAAGCCATGTGTCAAACATGTATCACTTTCGCGCTACTGGGTGACCTGTGGAGGTCCTAGCATGCTGATTAGACCAGTCGGCCAAGCCGCTTGTAACATGGATCCCCGGATTTTTTGAAGATCCCAAAATCAACCAAAATAAATATCAAATTAAATATTCGACTATTACACACCATATCAAATCAATCCCCTTGAAATTCCCCTCTACATTCTGATTGGGGTTAACCTCCCAGAACAACTAACAAAATTCTATAGACATTATTTTGTCTATTTTAACGGAATTATATTTATTTATAATATTATATAATATAAAATTACTAATATTAAATCTATCTAATTTATAATATATAATCTTATATTTTCACCTTATTGTTTTTTCTTAGTTTTTTTTTAAATATCATTATTAATGTATAAAATATATAAATATAAATATATTAATAATAATTATATTAATACCTAAAAAATATATTAAATTATATATAAAATATAATTCCTATGACTTAATTTTTGTATTGGAGGGGGGGTATACCCCTATTTAATAATATATTAATTTGGGAAACCTGAGGAAATATAAGGTTTCTTTTGGTATGGTATATTTAACATAATCTTTTTTTTATTGCCGGTTCCTCCGCTATCTTCCGCTTTACTCTTTTATTTTCTATCTTTTCCTTTTTTTTATTATCTTTTGTTTTGTATTTTCTTTTTTTGTTCCTTGTAATTTTTTTTATGCTTTTTAAACCCCTTTTTTCTTTCTATTTTATTTTATTCCCTACCTGCCAGGTGAGGGTTGTTAGATTTTATGTTAGTTGCCTCCTCCTGCCTCCTGCCTCCTGCCTCGTCTTCCTCCTCCTCCTCCTCTCCTCTTCGTCCTCCTCGTCCTCCTTGTCATCCTTGTCGTCCTTGTCGTCTCGTCCTTGCTCAACTGCCACCCGCGATCCACAGTGTTCTCTGCCGGACCTCAACCACGACCAGCCATGCCAGTGTTCCCTGCCGGACCTCAACCACGACCAGCCACGCCCAGTGTTCCCTGCCGGACCTCATCTGCGAGTATCCATGCCAAGTGTTCCCTGCCGGACCTCAACCGCGAGTATCCATGCCAAGTGTTCCCTGCCGGACCTCATGTAGGAAGATATGCCAGGAGATATGTCAGAATATATGCCAGAAGATATGTCAGATAGAATGGCAGAAGATATGTCAGAATATATGCCAGAAGATATGCCAGATAGAATGCCAGATTGAATGCCAGAAGATATGTCAGATAGAGTGCCAGAAGATATGCCAGATAGAATGCCAGAAGATTTGCCAGATAGAATGCCAGAAGATATGTCAGAAGGTATGCCAGATAGAATGCCAAATAGAATGTCAGAAGATATGTCAGATAGAATGCCAGAAGATGTGCTAGTAAGAACATGTATAAATCTCATGGTGGGGATCATACGAAGTAAAGTAATTTCTTTCTTTTTAGCTTTTTTTGTTTCTCTATGTTATTTTATCCTCTTTATTTTCTTTTTCTT